CCCACCCAGCTCCTTTAAGAACATAATTGCTACATGGCTTATTTCTATCGCTTTAAGATAAGGGATGCACCAACCTGCCTGTTGTTCCGAGATGTCGTGAACAGCGGAGAAAAGTTGAGAAACAAAGTGACAACCTCTTGACACCACAGAATGACGTGCAGCGAATGCTAGATTGCGAGGAAGTTTGTAATAGCGTGTCCGAAATGGCCAAAAGAATTCTCACACAAAAGAGGAACATCAAAGAACAAAATGAACTGGTTCAAGCAGCATGATGAAGTAGTACCTAAGGGTGGTTCCGGCATGTTTTTCCTTTGAAAAAACGGGGACGGGTTTTTGGTCGGTGTAGAATCCGACATACTCCACATCACATCAGCAAGATTTTCCCTTCCCCTTCCTGGCTAAAAAAAAATATACCAAACCAATTTTTGCTGTGATATTGATAATTCGCTTAGATGCCGCTTGAATGCGTTTTTTCATATAATAACAGAAAATTCCACAATTCTCGAAAAAATTATATGGAGGAACATAACTTTCCTTTTTCATAAAAATAATACCGAAAGATATGTTGAGCCTTGTATTTACCAATTTTCGCTTGTAACTGCGATACTTGCGATAAATTGGATTCCATGCAGAGGATGAAGTTTTCTTATAATGATCTGTGGGCAATTATTATAAATAATAGCGACTGATTTATATTTGCTAAAGCCTTCAGTGGTACGTAATAAAAAAAAACTAGATTCTTATAATATTCTCTGCATGTGTTTCAAACGTTGATGAATAATAAACAATGATCATATCTTTAACCTGAGCAAGTTTTTTAAATTTTGTCTTGTCTAATTTCAAATAAATTTCTATTTTTCTTGTAAAAAAAATTACTTGGCATTAAAAGTCGGTAATTTTTATAGTAAATAGTAAGCCTATAGAGAACATTCTGGAACTTTAAAACATCCGATCGTGAATGGATGTTTTCTTACTTTTAAGTCATCTTCTAATGAAGCTTTTATTGAACTTTGAAAACAATCGCGAATGTTAACAAGTAAAACTAAGTTCCAAAAACAGTTTTTTCCTTTCTTTGATTATCTTTTATTTTGCTCAATTAATAAAGTAAATAAATAATTCGTTAGTTACTTATTCTACAAAAATCCCTTAGTTTTTGTTTTTAAAATGCTCAATGGCCACAAGCAAGCTGGTTAATGCAAATTGTAAAACTTAAATCTCGCCTTTTATAACGCCCGTGCAAACTTTGCAAACTTTCAAATTGAATCAACACGATACCCAGCAGAAACCCGATATTATCGATCTAACATTTGTAGCAGAGCACGTAAATTTAAAGGTGACAAATCCCGTTACGTTTGCTAGCTCGTTTTCATTAACGCCCAGCTAGAGCACCGCCGCAATACAAATAGAAACTAACTTTTTCGATTTATGAATAGTTTCGGATCGCAAACGAAAATGCTTCATTGTACTTTATCTCGAAATAATGAAAATTTAATCATTACGAAATATCGGTGTTGTTTAGCGACCTATGATCGAAGCGTTTTATTTTCCTAGCCCTTAGTATTATTTTTAAAGTTTCTTTCTGCAAGTTCAAAGTACTTGAGGACCAAGGTTCACAGGAAAATAGATTCGTCCAAAATCCTTTAACTGTTTCTTAGAATTGTTATGAAAAGTCCTGGAATGTCTGCTGTGCTATACATTTAGTACAAGGTAGAAAATAATTAACTATATAACAATATATATGTAAATTGGGCAATATTACATACAAATAAACGAAATAGTTATTAAAACAATGTCTTTGGACTTCCATTGCCTTCATTTAAAATATATCTCAACTCAATTATTATGTAAATATTATAAATGATTCTCTTGATAATGGTTGAAGATACATTGCAATCGAAACGTTGAGATATAGAAATAAGTTTTAAATAAAATAAAAGTTTATGCTTTCAATCACAATTTAAAACTCAATACAAGCAAAATCACAAGTCTTGCTTTTTGCTGGTCTATAATAATGAGAAGTTTAACAAAACCAATTTATACATAAAAATTCAAAATATACATGTTTCACAGGTTAATAAAGCACACAAATTTGGGCGTCATTTTTGACACGGGATAATCGTTTGAAACGCACGTCGGGAAAGAACTTCAAAAGATTCAGCTTGTTTGATTACATTGATTGATTACAGTATACCCTTTACACATCGCATAACACCCTATCTAAATTTTAATAAATTATTCAATATAAAGTATCGCAGAAAATATCACATGCTTTGTTTTGTAAATAGAATTGACGGTCAGTCGCCCTATCTGACACGTGCTTTTGATGTTTATCCTAACACCAGAGAATTGATTTTAGATTGAAGCAACATAAAACTTTTAAAAGCCTTTCGTCTTTGTTGACGGCTAGTAATTGGAATGCCATACCTAATCATATCAAATTACAAAGAAATAACATATCTTTTACTGGAATAAAATTTTATGACGTAAAATAAATGCAGTTCTTTTTATGTTACGCTTTTCTGTGGCTCCAGTTGTCGTTATCGAGCTTCTATCCCTATTTCCTTCCGGTTCCCCTTGGCGCGCGTCTCCTCCATCCAATGAATGATGTTATATTTAGTTATACCTATATATTTTTTATCGTAGTTCATAAAAATATTTTTCTTATACTTACAATATATAATTTTTCAGTTAATTCGTTTCTGCACACCACAGGTATGTTCAATTCCTGTGTAATCGTTTTTTTTTTATAATCGCTCTGTAGTCACTTTTGACGAGCAAGTGTACTGTATAATAAGTGTTGTTTGTACAGTCTCGCAAATAAAACAGTTTGATTGATTGATTTATTGATTGAGATATAATTTTAGATAAAGGCATTCCAATTCGAAATAAACAGTTTTTTACTACTCTTTGCCTACGTGCTTCAAATAAACATTGAAAAAGTTATTGTCATGATAATCGTAGTTTTACAATACAAGAAAATGTGGACAAAAATGTGTAAATAATATCTATTATTGTAAATTGTCGTATTTTTACAACTACCTACATGAATTATTATGGTTAAGAAATACAAAAATTGAATTAATTTTGTTATTTCATTTAAACAATAAACATTTTCGTGTTTACCATTTATTTCTTAATAATAATTGTTTTTCCTCCCGAGTGGTCCTAACGGCACGGAATAATGTTGAGGTTTTACTAGTCCGCACCATATAAAAATAAAATATGGCATATGTTTTTGGTAAAAAACTAGTAGTGACAACATGACTGGGGTTAGGATCGTTACGATCATTTCCGCCAACCTCAACCCAGTAAATACATATATTATTATCTATAAAAATGAATCTGGCCCACTGGGTTATTTTCCTCGGTATTTGTACATCATTTTATATATGGTATGATCTGGTGTTGATATATTCTTACACGGATTTATTGAAGGGAGTCGCGATGAAATCCCAAGAAACGTTCCCCTTTAAAAAAAGTATTTACCTAGTTACCGATGAACAATGCTACGAAAAGCATTGTGCGGCAAACGGGTTAGTTCGCGGGTGCACCAGTCTGTTTGGAGCACTGTGAATGCGTTTCTCGCCTCTCATTTCCAAAGGATTTCGGCATAAAAGGCGCATTTAACTTATGGAAAAGCGAAAAGCCAAAGTAAATTCGAAAGTTAGTTTCAGTTTCCCATTATGGCTTGGCAACTTTTCCAAACTGGTATTCGCATTATATCCGAACAGGTGCCTGTTTTAGACTAATAACTATCGATTTGCCAACGAAATTTCCTCTGCTGCCTTCAAAATTAAACCGAGGGATTTTGAGATTCGTTTGTTGGTTTACGAGGTAAATTCGTTTTGTTTTAATTTTTGTTTGCATTGCAATATTGTTAATGCGTCCCAAACACACTCCAGAAATCCGCATACAAAAAGACTGTGCAATCCTGTCCTTGCATGAAGATTCCCCAACCGGGTAGTTTATCTATTTATGAGCAATTGCAGAATAACACAATATCAAACTGGAACAGGAATTATTAACCTCATGAGTTGGGCCAAATATTTGTTATATATCTAGATTTAGTAAAATCGAAATGGAAATAATTTGTTTTTCCCATTCTGAGCTCTACCGCTTTTTACAGTTTGTAAGGAATGTAGAGCTAGCTAATATATGAAGAAGAAGCTAGAACAGAAAACCAAATCCAATGGGGTTTAAAACAAATTTATACATTTTGGTAAGGAAGAGTCAGTATACCATTTTCTAATAATTATCATCTTTACTTATCAACTTTAAAATAACCCCGTTCTCGCCGCACTGACTCAATTGCGAAAGATGCATATTATTGCGGTATATTTAGTAGTACTGTCTTGTTACTTCTAAATCCCATGTCCTCCGGGAGACACTTGAGATGACGAAATTACAAATTCTGAACCAACCAAATTTCGCCTCTTATCGACAAATGGCAGAACGGGTAAAATAATTACAGATGTCTAACCAAACAAAAACCTAAATTGCGCCGCTTACAGATGGCAGCGTATGTCACTTATGTCGCCTATGTCACGCGCAATTCTAACGGTTTCCTCTGGGGCGGGAGACGCAAAAGTAATCGGGTAGTTCTACATATCACAATAAGAGAAATTTTGTGCATCAATAAAATCCCAAATTGTCGCAACAAAAGTCTAAATAAACTATTGGGCAGGCCTAATTGACCAACGCATGGAAACTACTTTTACGTTGTTTTTCTTGTGGGCAAATTAACTAAGGACATTCGCCCATTACCGACCACCGTCGAGGGTTTTACTTTAGAAACTTGTTACACAACAGGTAGGTATCATCACTGATAACGTTCTAGTTGAAGTAACTAATCTTTGGTTGATGAAAGAAGAAGATCCGTAGCTGTTTCCATATGACTCTAGCAGAATCGTAGCTTTTATAGAAAACACAGTCAAAATTGTCCACTTAATCTCGTGTGTTGCAGCGCGAAATCGTTAAGAAGAAGAATGGATCGTTAGTTTACTGGGCCCGTTATGACTACTGGCAAATAATTCGGACAATCCTGCCTGCGACAAGTAAGGAAGGAGAGGGTCAGTATCTGTAACAAAATATTTGATGGTACATGTGTAAGGGTTTGAACATAACCTGTTTTTATAATTTTAGCGGAACTTTTTAACACGTTACTAACATATTTTTCTTAAAAATTGAATTATAATTGTGCGATGTCAGGAGAATTAAGTAACAACATTCGTAGTTTATCAATCGATGAAAAAGAGTATGATGACTTTGTTGACCCTTGGAATGTAGTTAGTAAAGCGGACACAGGTGTGGATTATGATAAATTAATCAGTAAGTTTGTTTTCTGTTTTACGCCTGAACTAAAATATAATTTTTAGAAAGATTCGGCAGTTCAAAAATAGATGATGAGCTGTTAAGTCGATTTGAAAAAGTGACAAATAAACCGGCCCATCACCTTTTACGTAGAGGTTTCTTCTTTTCACATCGGGATTTGCAGCTAATTCTCAATAGATATGAGACCGGCAAACCGTTTTATTTGTATACTGGTAGAGGGCCTTCGTCCCTGTCAATGCATTTGGGCCACTTAATTCCATTTACGTTGTGTAAATGGCTACAGGATGTATTCAATGTTCCTCTGGTTATACAACTTACTGATGATGAAAAGACTCTATGGAAAGATTTAAAGGTGGAAGAGGCATATAAAATGGCTCTTGAAAATGCAAAAGATATTATCGCTTGTGGATTTAATGTTAACAAAACTTTTATTTTTTCGGACTTTACATATCTGGGGTAAGACTATTGCATTTCTTTTTTAATTTAATTTAGTTATGGATTTTTAAATTTTACGCTGCGCAAATTCATTGCGAGCAAATATATTCATTTATTTTTTATTTATAGATTCATTACATTACTGATTAAAATTGACATATATTTTTAGACAGAGATCCGAATTTTACAGAAATGTGATTCGAATTCAAAAATGTGTCACATTCAATCAGGTCAAAGGGATTTTTGGGTTTGATGATAGTACTGTAATTGGTAAAATAGCTTTTCCTGCAGTGCAAGCAGCACCAGCCCTCTCAACATCCTTTCCGGATATTTTTGGGGATAAGAAGATCCCCTGCCTTATACCATGTGCTATAGATCAGGATCCATATTTTCGGATGACTCGTGATGTTTGTCCCCGTATAGGTATATTAAATCACAAATTTATACAGATAACATATTGTTTTCATTTAAAGTATTTTTGAGTTAATTGCAATAATAATTATTCATACATTTTTATCCCTGGTTCTGTAAAAGATTAAAAGAAAATTTTCCACTGAACTCTATATTTATTTAAATTTTTCCTTAAATATTGACAAGTACTGTTGCATCATTCAACCTTATTGGTACATATAAATGAATTCCTGTTTTTTAAAATGACCATTTATAATTTATGTTCTATTTAGAGGTTAACTTTTAATGTATTTTCGTAGTACCTATCTAACTGAACTATAGACCAAATGACAGATATATTTCCTGAGAATCACGTCTAAGTTTCAGTCGTACATTTAAGATGTATATAATTTCATATTTTTTTCAGGTTTTGATAAACCTGCATTGCTGCATTCCAAATTCTTCCCGGCTTTGCAAGGTGCAAAAACTAAAATGTCTGCTTCTGAAGCTAACAGTACCATTTATGTCAATGACACACCCAAACAGTTAAAAAATAAAATTAATAAGTATGCATTTTCGGGAGGTCAGGCAACAGTGGAAGAACATAGGGAAATTGGTGGAAACTGTGATGTAGATATATCTTATCAGTATTTAAGGTTGGTATGGTCTTAAAATTTATTTTCTTAAAAAATCTATTTTTATTTAGAGCAATTAAAGAAAACAAAATTAGCCTTTAAGGTCTGTAAACTGCAAATGTTTCCTATAATTTATTTGAACTTTGAACAATTTAAAGCACATGTACTTGGTATTTTAGATTTTTCTTAGATGATGATGACAAATTGGAACAAATCAGGAAAGATTACACAAGCGGGAAGTTGCTGACTGGAGAACTAAAGAAAATTCTAATTGATACACTAACCCCAGTTTTAGTTCAACATCAAGAGAATCGAGCGAAAATTACAGATGATGTTTTAGAAAAATTTATGACACCAAGAAAACTGTTGTGATAATGTTACAAAGTATTTTTCTTTAAATTTTTGAAGTACGCTTTAAATTTTGCTTCCAAACAAGCAACATTATTTATTTAGAACTTCAACAGAGTAATGACAAATTTTTTACTGATTTTACATAAATTATGGGAACCCGTCTGCTAAGAAAGTATTCCGTTTTTTCACCAAGTAATAATTTGGTGATCATTTTTATTTCTTGTGAGCTTAAAGAGAATTTGTACTAGCTGAATAATTGGCAAAATGGGTATTTATTTAATTTATAAAGTGTGTTACTTTACGCTATTGTTAAAAATCTGCAAAATAAAACTGTTTTTTTTAATACATTAATATTTTCATTGGTTTCAGCAAACCAAAAAGTTATTCAGTTTTTTGCTTCTTTGCTTTTGCTAGGATGGGTGGCAGTAAGCGGAGCAATTCAAGCTTTTAAAACTGAAATGTCAACGCTATAAAAAATTATTATATTTTTAAAAATATTTGAAAATTAGTCAAAAATTGGTATTAAAATATGACACTATTCAAAATGTAATTCACACCACACCTAAGAAATTGTTTAATTATTTACATAACAATTTAACAAGTCCTATACTAACACGCAACAGCCAAGTTGAGTGTGCCTGTTATCAAATATCACATTTTTTTAAGGATTCATAAATCATGTGTTCGCCACTTCTGATTGGCTTCTTTTCGGGCGTCTGGCACTAGTTGGCTCTGCATTCCACCTAAAACGTTTGTCGTTGCTTCTGAGGCTATTACTAATGGTTTGAAAATTGTGGGAGGAATTTGCCTAATCACGGCACCGACTGCGCCAGTATATCCTTTTTGCTCTTTTTCAAGAGCTGCCAGTTGTAAAATATTATCGGCAGTTTCACCAATTCCCTTAAAATGGAAGGACAATGAACATTGTCATCAGTTTTTCACATTTTCCTACCTCTTTTACAACCATACAGGCGTTAGTAAGTCCTTCCCTAATATCCTGAGGCTGATGATACCTTTTTTTGCGTCCTCGTTGTTTGGCTAACCTTTTGGTTCTAATACTGGGCCCAGGAGATAACATATCGTAGGCAGTTTCGGCGGTGATCTACAGAAAAAAATCGGTTTAGTTGTATATACAGGATGCTTTAAAATCCAATATCCAAATTTTGAATAGTCTTTCTTGTAGATGTGCTTTATGACTGATCTACAGTGTTGAAAGCTTATGTTATGAACCTAAAAACTCAAAGTTTAAGTTGTTTAAATTAGTTCCGTTAACGCAGTTCAGCGGGGATGAACTAAAAAATATCTCCCTGTATACTTGAATCACGTAATCTAACTCACAAGTGATAACCAAAACAAAAAGAGCATAAAAAATAAAACAATTTTCTAGCGACATTTTTTTTGGCGTTATATAACTTTTCCTCTTTTTTGAAGCGTGCGCACTTAAATAACGTTTTCCATAAAGTTCGACGCTACATACGCAATGTGTTGTAATATAATAAGTTTTGAAAATAACAAATAATGTGGGCAATCATTTGAGGCATATTATTATAAGGTGCGCGGGTTGATCTTAATACTTTAAAAAGAAAAAACAAAACATTCCTGGAATTGTAACACCAAGGAGATGAAAAAAACTGGCTTATTTCAAAGCGAAAAATATATCCAAAAGATCTTGTTACTCAATCTGGAAATACTACGGTGTTTCAAAACTGAACTTGTATTAAATAATACAAGGTGATCAACTTTGAGAGAGATGAATCCACGCTTACATCTACCCTCGCCCCCCCACTATTAACTCGTAAAAATTAAAACAAAATATATGTTTTAAATTTATTAGAGAAAAAAATATCTGTGTATAAAAAAACGTTTATCTTATAGATATTAAAAATATACAGGAACTAAATTTTAATGCCTAATGATTTTATAAACCCACCTATTGTTTAAGAGAATACTTTTTTTGACCACCTTAATTTTTTTTTTAAGGAATTTGTAAAACTCCAAACAACTTAAATTCCAGTTGCACCTTGTAATCATGGTTGATTTCAAAGTACTCCTCAGATGAAGTTGACTTTTTTCACTACAAAAGGTTTTTATAATTGAAAACACTCTTTCTTCCTGTGTATGTGTACTGGGTAGGCAGAGTGCAAACTCAACTACCAAAGATTTTTTAAACCTAAGTTGATTTTTTGTACAATTGTCAGAAACTTCAAGTTATCGGACACAAACATTGATATCATTAGCTTGCCAACTTTCCAACTTTTTATTGGTTACAAATTCCATTATTAAAGAAATAGTTCAACTTCATTTATTAATGTTTTATTATATAATTTATTTATTATTATAATAAAATATTTTTTATTGCGGTTTGCATTTCTGAGTAATGTGGTATGTTTTGAAGTAACACCCATTTAAATGTATCCAACATTTAAGATGGAGTGTGAAGTAAAACTCAACTACAGTGGTTTTTGTGGAATTAAGATTTGTATTTAATTCATTATCTGGAGCATATTTTTTAAAATGAGAGGAATGAAGCACTCCTATTTTTTTGCTTTTATTTTGCACTTGAGTTATATATATTTTTAGACATCCTACTGCTGATATTTCCTTACCTTGTATAAGGAAACTTGTTTTATCGAAAAGTGCTGCAGCTTTATGCACAAATAAAACTTTGAAATTATGGGGCATTTTGGAATTGACGAAAAATACAACTTAAGAGTGGGAAACAGTTGGGTGATAAAGTATAGCTATATTAAAAAAATAAATATAAAAAATAATAATAAAAAAAAAACGGAACCGTACCGGCCAATCCTGTTGGGTTGGTCAGTCTGAATAAAATGATCTTACCTGAATCAGATAAATTATTCTGGTGGTAAGCTCCAACGCTGCCATTGCAGTTGAAGTTGTAAAACTGTTTGCGCCTCGTTGAAGTCCTCTTACTATTCTTCCATCCTTTTGGTACTGCTCAATGGGTAACCAGAATAAATCCCTTACACCTTGAACTATATAAAATAATGTTGCTCAGTCAGACAATTTTAAAAAATAAACCATGTGCTTACACAGTTGCAATAACGCGTGCATTGGCCCCAGACCACCTAATATTGTCGACAATTGGTTTCTTTTAATGTCACTCAACCACTCTTGCAACAAAAAGTGAATCAATTTTGAGAATCCTAATAACCCGTGCCGATGAACTATTCTCTTCAGCTTTAATTCTGAACAATTTAACTGGCCAAGTCCCATCAATAGCCCGGCCAACGGACCATGAGTCATATCAACCCTTTTACCATGATAATCTATACGGATAAAGACATCATGAGAGAACACCACCTTCCTGCAACAAAAAGAAAGGGTTCTTAAAATAGATGGCAGATGCCGGTGGGTTTAAGGATATTCAAAATCTATTTACAGACAATGCTGCAAACTGCAATGAAATTAAAAAATATTAGTAAAATTTAGATATTTCTGTAGTTTCAATGCTGTCAATGTGCCGCTTACCTAAAGTAAATTGGCGCATCGTCAGTTTCATTGACTTCTGATATATTAGCTTCCCCCTCCAAGTCCCTATGGAGTCTACTTTCTTCCATAAGCAAAATTAGATTTTCATTTACAACTTTTTGTGCATGATGTATAATTTCTTCTTCATTTTCTTCAGCTATTGTCATAACCGGGGGTTGGTGCGTTGGGGTACTGTGCTTGGAAGATGACTCGGCCACAGGTTCTGGAAAGGACAAATAAATTTTTTTTTGGTAGGGGACATTCTAGAATACTCAAAAGTTTTGCGCACAGTTTTTTATTCAGGTTATCCAACTTATTTATTTAATTATTATTATAATTAGGTTTAAAAAAATTGTCTCAATCTTTAGGTTATTATTCATTTCCAACATTTCGACTGCATAAGTTGCAGCTATCTAAATATCCTTTCACAGCAAATAATGCAGGAGGTCGGGCGACTTGGAAATTAAAGTATTAAATAAATAAATTAAAACAATTTCCTAAACTGAACATTACCTGCGGGCAGCGGAGAAGCTTCTCCGCCAAGCTCCTTAAAAAATTTTATGAAAAACAGTAAAGAATCCTGATCAATGTTCAATCGAATTGGAAGTAAGGAGATCTTCAAACAACATTCCTGAGTGCTCAGTTTTGGATCCGGCCTGATGTGTACTGCTTTTATGACTACCTAAAATCATTAAACTCTTTGATACTAAAATAATCAAAAGTGGAAATGTGGCAAAACTTTTTTAAAAAAGAGAGAAAATTATTTTTAATGTTTTAAAATTTATAAATTGTCTCTGTCGTTATTTATACGTTTTACTGAGTCATCCTCAGAACATGAAAGCCATACTAACCATATTGGAATGGTATTTTTTGGGCCTTGCTTGACTAGTATATTGATATAGGAATTTATTGATTTGGCTTGACTTTAAACGGTCTCTTATCTCTATGTCGCATATCAATAGAACTTGACGAGATGCCTGAGCTGTGTTTTCTGGATACCTCTCATGTTGAAAGCGAACCTAATAAAAATATATTTTTCAAAGAAACTTCCACAGGCTACTGTAATACTTTTTACAAAACTTCTGGATTCCTCCTGCGTCGGTTTTTGCTGAGTCGAAATTGCTGACGTCTCGCCAATCATCCTGTTGGCTTCTTCAGAGCTTGACTGAAACTGGCTCGCATTTTAATCTGTACCTGCGTATATATTGTTTGAGGAGGCAGTGCTAAATGAGAGGCATGAACACCGTCTCGGATGACCGATTCCCATGTTGGTGACAGGTAAAGACCAGAGTCGCGGTTAAGATTGTTAGGTTACTTATAGATTTCTATGGACTCTTGGATTTTTCATTGGTAGAGGCACTGATTACATGCAAGAATTTTAGTTTTATCGAATAAAATTTTATATCCGGTTTCATGAGCGTGTTCGGCAACAGCAGATGAGTTTATTTGTCTTAGTCGTAAGGCTCTTTCGTGTTCTTTGAGCCTAGTTGATATTTTTCGTCCGGTCTCTCCAATGTACTTTTTGCCGCATATGCATAGAATGCTGTAAACATCTCAAATGGAATTTTGTCTTTGACGGATCGAAGATGTTGACAGATTTTCAGACAAGTGGTAAATCTGGTTTTGACGTTATATTTCTTTCGAACTTTTGCGGTCAGTGATGTTTTGAATGTAAGGAAGGACCACAGTGGCAAGTATAGGATTGCTTTCGACCTCATCAGCTGTTGCCCAACACACTCATGAAACCGGACATAAAATTTTATTTGATAAAACTAAAATTCTTGCATGTAATCAGTTCTTCTACCAACGGAAAATCCGAGAGTCTACAGAAATCTATAAACAACCTAACAATCTTAACCGCGACTAAGGTCTCTACCTCTCACCGATATGGGAATCAGAAATCGAGACGGTGTTTATGTCCAGTTTATGCAGGTACAGAGTAAAATACGAGCCAGTTTCAGTCAAGCTCTGAAGAAGCCAACAGGATGAGGGGCGAAACGTCAGCAAGTTCGACTCAGCAAAAACAGACGCAGGAGGGATCCAGAAGTTTTATAAAAAATAATAAAAATATATTTTATTTTTTGCTGCAAAATCAATCATTTTTTCAATACCTTATTGAGCTGTAGTTCCATAAGAACATTGTGGTCTCTGTTTTCGCCGCCCCTCTCCATCCAATGCATTCCAATTAACTTCTTATCCGTTTCTGCGTCTATGGAAACTTGATTTTTAGAATTGGAAAATGTTACTTTGTGGCTCAATTGTTTTTCGGAAAATCTCACTTCCTTCTTCCTATTTTCCTGGTCAGGTTCTTTAAAGTCATTCCCACCATACATCTGCCACACCACAGTCATTTCACATAATGTGTACCTCACCACAGGTGTAGGAAAATGTTTAGGCGGTTGTAGTAGATCTAAAATAAAAATACATCGAACTAATGACATTAAACTAGATGCTATCACAAAAGTTTTTACCCCTTTTACCGATGGGCGAACAAAAATGATTCTCTATGACCCGCACGGGTTCATCTGTTAACCATTGTATTTCGGAGACACCATCTTTGGGAAACATTTCAGAACCCACCTCGCTCCCAATAATACAAAATTCATCGTCTGTATCGCTGCTGACATTAAAGTGATAATCTTTTAGATCGCCAAGTTCTGCCGTAACTTGCGGCAGAAATTTTGATTGGGTCTTACTAAGAATCCGGTCCTTTTCGTCGGGAAAATAAAACACTTTAGTTCCCGTTGGTGCCATATTATATGACGTTTCCGCTGTAACAACAAATTCTATTCTTGAAAAAGGGAAACATTTTTAGTCCCCGTAGATTTTAATATTTCTGTAAATATTTCTATGTACTCAAAAAACCCGTGTTCTTGAGGTCCAGAACAGAAAGGAAACATGTAAAATATATTGCGATATATTAAAAATAGTTAATTGACCCAAAATACGTGCATGGTTTTCACTTATCTTTTTAGTATAAATATATGGGTAAAATAAGCAGTAGCATTATTACATTTCATTATCATTCCATCATGCTTAGTATTTACTATCGTTACTTTTCCCTTTTTGCGGATGATGCAGTTTTTACCCTTTCAGCAGCATCACCTGAGGAACTTAGCAATGCAACCAAGACAACTGTTGAGCAAATAAAACATTATGCAGAAATTAAAAAATTGCTATTAAATGAAAGTAAAACTAAGATGATCGCCTTTTCAACACGGGATTTAAATAAGAGTTTATTAATACGATTTAATGAAAGCGCAATCCAACGGAATACTTTCTGTTCATGGCGTTTCTTTCCCCTCGTTAAAAATGTACTATTTTTGTTATGTCCATTCCCGTCTCAACTACGTCTTGGTTTGTTGGCGAGGTTCCCCACGTGCGGAGCAAGTCTTTAGGATGTAGAAACGCATTTTACGGACTATACTGTTTAAGCCGGGGAATTTATTATGTAAAAAGCAACTCTAATCTTTATATGCTCTCAAGAAACTCAGATATTCAGTACCATTTAAGACCAAATCTTAACATAACACAACAAATAGTGCTTTCGTTTTGATTGCAAAGATTTATAATAAATTGCCAATCGAACTGAAGGAGATAGCTAGTCAAACAAAATTTAAATGCCTATTGCAATATTAAAGATTTTCTTTCTTGTGATGCATTTTATACGTATTTTTTATTAATTAATTTTACTAACATCATTTTATATTTGTACTATACTGACAACATCCAATACTTGTAACTCAAGTATTTTGGAAATAAAGCTATTTTTATCTTTATCTTTATCAAATGTAATAAAATGAATACAAGAAAAATTCGCGTCGAACAAAAAGATCTGATGAATTCCTATATAACAGAAAAACTTCAAATTTTGATGGTCACATCCACCAGTTGGTGAACAAGACGTTTTGTACGATTAAATTACTGAATAAATTCTTTGTTTAAAACCTAAAAGCAATCGGTTTAGATAAGCACATCTCTTATTTGAATCTCTTCCAAAGCCTCAAAATCGGGATCGTTAATTTCATGCCACGACGCAAGTTGGTTAGAATTCATCATCATTATTGCGATTTTTTCCTAGATATTAATTTGGTAGTAAAAAGATTGTGAATAAGAAAAAGGCAACCAATTTCTATCATGTGTGACCAATAGGTTTCTTGTTGGAGAGTAGCAATTTCCTTGTTTTTTTTAAAGAACTTTTAACATTTTAAGGACACACCTCCACAATATACACTAAAATTCAATAAAACATTTCTTACACTCATCGGTTCCGTTACTATCCTCCATAGCATCTACCAGCAATTCACTAATATGATCCTGTTGACTTTTGGTGAGTGAAATGTCTTGTTTAACATTTATTAAATCTTCGTCGGTCACGTGTTTGGGACTGGAAGATACACTCTCCCGTTTTGACAAATCTGGTAGGAGATCACCGTCGTTAGCAAAATAAGTTATTAGTTGCATGAGGGCTCGTCCGCTGTCCGAGCATGTTCTTATATGAAGTAAATTGTTGGACGCTCGAAAGTCTATGTGAGGATTCACGCCAACTTTCTAATAAAAATAATTAGTGTTATTGTAAACAAATTTTACACTCTTAAAATTTTATAAAAGATAGGAACTCTAATTTGGAAAAACTTAATTATCCCTGTGCTCACCTTGTCTGTGGTTTTTAGACTTATTTCAAACAATCCCAATTTCACTACGTTGACATAATCTTTGGCCAAATCCACTTTTGTTGAAGAAGGTATGCCATTTTTGGGTGGTGCTTTATCGCTAATGAAAAGGTTACAGTCTTCGAATATAAACCTTAGAGTGGAAAAATTTGAGGCGGCAGTTAAATGGGAAGACAAACTAAAGCTACCTATATTGACAACTGATCTTACAGGCAGATGCAGAGGCCTAAAATTTGTACACAAATTTGACAATATCTTGCTAGTTGACAAACATGTTCCTTACCTGTAATCGATGGCACAATCCCACAAATGTAAGTGCAATTCAGTTAAAACGTCTTTTGGTTGGTAACCAGCAATTGGATAGTCTTGAACATTAAAAAAATCGAGCAAATGTGATATCCACGTATTTGGTTCTCTGCACATTCTGTGCCTTAATGTAGCCTTGTTTAAGGCCAACGATACCTGGACAGTCTAAAACACCCAATAATCTGGCATGATAATAATTTCAATTATTTCTTCAACTATAAAAAAAGGTTTTAAAAAACTTGGACTGAGGTGGCTTTTACTTGATAGAAATCCATTTAACATAATTAAATTAGAACAAAAAATGTAATTTTGTTATAAATTGTGTTTTAAAATTCAAAAAACAACAAAAAAAATATTTAGATTGAAGAGTACCTTTATATGATGGGTTTCATGGTTTGCCTTAATTTTTATTGCAACGGTAAACATTTCCCTATCACCGCCCCGACCAGTTGAGTTTATTAACGTTTCATCGCCAGACTGGTAAATGGTAGGAAATAAATGTCTTCCGATTACACTTCCGACCTTGCGCAATGGAGGACTGGTACTTGGTACAGGCTGCATATCTAACAACATTTGAAAAACGTACTTCTTTAACGTTTAAGATATAAAAACGTTTACATTTTTCCACATGCAAGAAATGCAGATTAATTACTCAGATAAAAAAACATGGTAAAACACATTTTCCCTAAGCATTAGTAAGCAAATACCAAAATTTGTTGTTACTCAGCTAACATTAGAACCGAAAAGGTGAAAACTGAGGTGAGGTCTAAAAGAAAAGATAATGTGGCGTATTAAAATTAATGTTCCGAGTTTTATTGTAATTCAAGTGTTCTCGCTAGCTAGAGTGGCAGACAATTTTGCTCACCTTAAGTTTCATTATTAAATTAAATTTAATATTTACTGGACACTGGTGGCTAATATTTAAAAATAAGTGCTTTAAAAGTGTACTTATTATTTATATAGGCATTGCATAGTTCCGGAACGTAAAATAGGTTATGCCATCGATAAAAATGAATAAGAAACTGGCGGTCAAAGTTGCTTCAAAACACCTAACGCCAGTAAAAAATTAATCAAAATGTAGAAAATATATATTATTCTACCTAAACTAAAGAAAGATGCGTTACATTTGGGTAACTAATTTTGATTAAAAAAGGTATAGTAAGTACATAGCAGATAGTTACTAGAGATATAGAGACCCTACCCCTTCTAGTAATACAGGAATTAATAAACGAACTACGACAACATTTTTCGACAAGATCCATTCAACATGCGCATGGGCGAGATTTAAAATGTCGTATCTAACCAATGACCGGGTGGCATTCAGCAACCAACATGACAGCTGATAGACCGTCAATAAATTTGGATGCGGCATTTTTACGACAGTTTGTTCCCAAAATATGCCTAGATCTCGTTAAATGTACTGGGAAAACGATTTAAGTGTGTGGAAATCGTTGTTTTGAAAAAAAAAAGTAGCAAAAGTGCTTTTTAGTGGGTGAAATGTAGAGGCATGCGTGGAAAATACTTTCATTAATTTTTACAGTAATAGAGCCACTATATATTCTAATAGCTATAAGCAATTATATAATCTATATACTAGACTTGGGTTCATAAGAAAGTGTAATTGAGTACAGAATTTAGTGCATGTAAATATGAATAATTCTAATAAAAAATCGCAGCCTTTGCCAAATATTCTATCAATATACATCCTTAGCAAAGTATTCAAATATTATAAAATGTGACTTACCGCAGTGGTATAATTGTGCACCTCCCACTCGAACACATACATAGCCTAAATTATTATCACCTCGATATCCATTTACAATAAATATATCTGCATTGTTAACATTTAAAACAAATTCTCCCTGTTGTCCAGGTATCACATTATTAGTTACTGTATCTCTCACCGGAGGATTAAGCGATACTAGTCCTTCAACTACTTTTAAGGTTAATGCTATATGACTTTGAGACCTATACTTAGACTTGGATGAATTGTACGCAAGCTTTTGTGAATGCTTCATTTTGTCATACGTTGAATAAAAAATATTAGTATCCGATTCATCAGAAACATCACTGGAGTCACTCTCTGATTCTGGAACACGCGAAATATAGGAAAGTAAATCAAAAAAAGTACTACTTACCATACTGGAGACCGCTTTTGCACATTATAAATTTATCCTCAAATTCAAGAACATCGAAATTTCCATATGCGGTCCCTTTATACAAGTCGGAACTAGGTTTAGGTGCTGCTGGTTCCCACAGCAGTAAATCATTGCTAATCCTGTTATAAATCAGTTCATAAATGTGTTTCGATTCAAACTGAAGCGACACAGTAGGAATTAACAATTCTACTTGAATTTGTGAATTGGTGGCAGTCGATTTCATAAAATTATCCAACTCGCATCTATCACCAGGTATTATGAGTTCCTCAGAGTCGTCTACAAGAAAATAAAGTTTGTCTTGATGGTTCAAAAATTCTAAAAAATAGTTTCAAACATAAGATTTTTTAGTCCTGCAGGATGAAAAAATCGCAGATATTTAATAAATTATCTGATGAAAAATACAATTCAGAGTTGCTCTTTTATAAAAATTTAAAAAATAAAAAAATCACCAATTAATTAATCACCTCTATGTAATTTAGAATGCGGTGTATCACTCTCATGGACTACCCTTTTAGCAGCAAAAGGTCCAGGTTCCGTTCTTCCCTGATTTTCAAAAGCACCATAACAAGAATGTGTCATTGGATCTGGTTCAGTATCATCCTGAATGTCTACTTTTCTGGGAAAGACTTTAATGCTCAACCTATAAAAATTAATTACTTTGGGAGGTGTGATGTAATTTATAGGGTTAGGGGGGTACTTATATTCATTCTGATACCAATGGTACAGGCCATAAAGTTCTAGCATTAGAATTTTGAGAGCAGTTGAATTATTATCTATTATTACCTACTGTACCTTCCTGTACTTCACCAATTACATAATTACCTCATATCTTTACAAATCGTTAGTTATGACATAAAGTGCTAATTTAGCCCTAAATAAATTAGCTTCATTCAGGCACTTTAAACAATAAACTTCACAAAAAAGGACTGTGCCACTGAATTTTTCAGGTTATTTCCCAGCAAGTGATTAAAATTACATACATGTAGATATACCCATATATACCAAAAAAAAATGTTAGCTACTGCAACTAAACAACTCATTTTTACCTTGGGCGTGCCATATTATTTGGCTTTGAAGAGAAATAGGTATCATCCTGCCCAGCTTGACCAATGTGCAGGCCAGGACTACTATCACACTCATAATAATAAACATCCAATGTCTTGCAATCAACTGAATACTCGCCACAAGTCTGGTTTTTATGAAAAGCAGATTGAAATATGGCGTCAGACAATACAAGCGAAATGTAGTCTTTCCTTATATTCCTTTCCCACCATGGATACTTACTCAAATCATGTGGTGGACGAAAATCAGGTACAGGGAATCTAAAACACAAAGTTGTGAAAATATATACAAAAAAATTAGAATCCTTCAGATGACCATACCTTAACTTTAGATTAATCAGTGATGACATAATTTTTAGGTCCAAAATTGATTCACTGTTTAAAGGCATGAAACCTTCTGGTCTAGTCTGGTTCCCATTCCAGTAACCATCTAGTTTTTCTGAAGCAAAAATTGGAGGATAATTCAAAAGTGAAGTTATTCTATCGATTATGGATATGTCAACTTCTGCTGAACATTTATTCAAAGATATACTAAAACAAAGCGAGGCATTGGAGTGGCTAGAAACTTTGGTGGTACCAAAATTGCTTACGAAAGATCTGTCCTGGGACCACATTTTTTAGAAAGCATTGATTTTCCAGTCCGCTGTACATGTTTAAACCTAAGCTTAATGCTTGGTTTTGTCACGTTCGGCGAACCACTAACGTTTGGCGATAACTCAAAGTCAATCAATGGTATGTATTTAACCTTCTCGCAATTATATAAACATTCTAAAAGTTGTACTTTAGCAGCGGTCATCTGGCCAGATATTGAAAAAGATGAATTTGTAGTCTTTTCATCTGCTTCTACTTGGATCGGAGCCGCTAGTAACCTTAAAATAATGCAGTAAATATTTCTTTTCATCTCACCTAATATTACTATTAACCTCAAATGGCTTAAACGGCAAGCTTTTCCAAATGAAGAATTCATTTCGTTGAAATCTTTTCCGACATAGCCACTGAATGTAGTGTAGTCAATGTTGTTGAAAAATTTTTCAACAGTTTTTTGCATCTGTCTTACCAAAACCTGTTTGCTATCTGTAGATACAGACAATATATCTTCGTGTAACAGCACTACAGCAAGCGACACCAGTCTTATATGGAAGCGAGAGATTTCAGCCGTGGGGTCTGTGTCAATATTGCTAACTAAAATGAAAATTCCAAAAATGCAAAAAATTAAATAACCTAATGTATTTACCCCTCCTACGACTGTGATGACTTTGATCTGTGGCTGAGCTGACCATACTAGAGCTGAAGCTTGATTCCATACTGCTACTAACACCTGATAATGTACTGTCATACATCCCACTAGCCGCTTCCTTCATTGGTATATATTCTCCAGTGCTGTCATCTTAAGTAATTTCACAAAAGTAAAAAAAATATGTGGAGAAAATTAAAAATAAACAAGACTTACCCATTGCACCTGTAGCCCAACCATGATTCTGTTGCAAATTTAGAGCTTGATAGTGTGGAAATGGATTTAACAAATTCTGTAACTCCTTTTCAATCTTTTCATAATCAGTATCCGTCATAGGTTTTGAGTTGAGTTTATCTTTTTGACTGCTGAAAATTTACTGTTTTATTGAAAAGTAACTTTAATTCATGAAATAAAGCTTCGTTTGTCCAACTTTATATAATATTAAGAAATCTTTGGCTTAGAATCATAATAAAATTAATACAAAGGGTTCAAATTTTCAAATAATTAACAACATAAATGTTAGTGAATTTCTGGTTTATAAGAAAAACCACAATCTGCTATTATTTTTTATTTTACCTTTTTCCATGTGACGGACTTGAAAACCCATCTATTAACGCCATTAACAAATAATACTGCCTAGGAGAGAGGAATAATATAAAAGCCCCCAAATTAACTTCAATCGCAACTTTTGGCCCTGCAATATTTTCAGATTGCTTCAATTTGATTCTGACCTACAAATACATAACAATAGCAAAACTTTTAAGGCTTTAAAAGCAGTGCAAATAAACTAAATATAAAGAATTCTGGCTCTTAGGCAATTATACCAAAATTAAATTAATAAATTACTTGCCTCTTGTCTATTACAAATTTTTCCAAACATAATAGTAAGATTTTCTTCATCTGATTCATCGGGACCAGAATCAAGACATTCAGTTTTTAAATTATTTTTCACCCCAGTATAAAAAAAAATATCGTGCTCTTTGGGATCACCAGTTTTTAGCTCAGATTCATCTGCGGCCTTGGTGAAAACTGGAAATTCAATACTAGATAATTTAACTCCCTCAATACACAATTTTTTTGTAGTAAAAGAAGGGACCAAGTAAGCTTTTTTTGTGTTGTCTTTGCTTATCTCCGTTGCTTCATCAGGACCTGGATCATTCCCACATTCATCAAAGTATTCAATTCTAAAATACACAATTTATAAAAATCATCATTTAAACCAAACCAATTATTTCACTTTTATAAGAATTGACTTACAGATCTATATTTAAAATTAATCCAACTCCTCTTTCTGCATCTTTTGCCAAATGTTCTATTTGAATACAAGTATCAACAAACCTAATTTTGATTCTGCCAACAACTACGATGAAATTTGATAAGCAATTAACATTCATTTGGCTAATTCCTACTTACTAGATTCAATAGTTTGCGCAAAAAGCTCTACTCCCTCAACTGAGTTGGTATTTTTATCATTAGCAACTTCCTCCTTTGCAAATTCTTCAGCCAAATGCATAGAGCTTGTCATGGAGTTCCACATAGACTCAAACATTGATGTTGCTAGGAAAATAATTAGATAAAGAGCTGACTACTACTTGCAAAAATAGTGTATTTTTTCAAAAAAATTATATGATCCTGCCATTCATGCGAAATTCCTTATGTAAAAAAAGCTCACCATCTTCTTTCCTCTGTTTTGGCTGAACTGTTAGTTTTAACCCACATATTTCTACATAGGATGGATCTTTTAAAATAGAAGTCCATGGCACATTAATATCTATTTTGCCAATATAGCCATCTACAAATTCTATTGGCCAATTTTGAGTTTCGCCCAGTTCATTGAGAGCCTAAAAGTCAAAATTTCAAAGAATCTCGAAATTAGTGTATTTTTTTGTAAATTTATTACAGTGTATAGTTTTGGTAGAGTGACTTGGTTTGAGTTCAAATATTAGGGAGTAGAGTGAGTTCTCTCTCAAGCTCCATCTCCTGAAACAGTATTTTAGCAGATGGCAAGAAGAGTATTAATTGATTTGAACGTTGCAATGTATTGCTTATTAAAATTAATAATTATAAGAATTAGAGATGGAAGAAAAAAATTGTGCCGTTCATCCAAGTATTGATTTTATACATCACATTTATTACAAACTACTTAACAAAAATCAACCTCACTCCACTTCAACAATGTCTAATATCCAAACCTATCTTTTATTTATACATCAAAGATTCGCCCTTAAAATGATTTAATAAAAAAAATCAGTAACAAAATAACAAAAGAATTATAATGAATCAACGAATTAAATGTTGAAGTCTAAATATCTACAGATCTACATCTACATCTTCAAGTCACATACCAAAAAAAAATAACTCTAGACAAGAAAGTCAGGAAATGTTATAGAATTTGCGCAGTTAATATATATTATAAATTTTTATAACTCAAGGCAAAAGGAAACATTGTTTATTGTTTTATCTATTCTTTAATAAAAATTAAATTGGAACAAAGCCGAACTCTTGAATTTGTATTACAGAAACAGTAAACCAATATTAAATAATTGTGTGTTTACCTCGACTGCCAGGCTGATTCTCTCGGCTGTACCTCGTCCATTAAATAAATCAAGATTTAGCTGGTCCCTAGTTATTTCATTTTCAATAAAATTGTTTAAGTACCGTTTTATCAAGCAAGTGCACACACTTTTCTTTATATATTCCGGAATTATGTTGGTGTACCAAGGCATTGTCAACCTTCAAAAATGTTACAAAATTAGTATTTACATGCGTTCTTTGTTTTGATATCCATTTGCGTGCTTTTGACAGTTTTCACTTGTTTTTCTCTGGTTGTTGCAGATCCCAGCTGAAACCATAGAATAAACTTTAAGATAGGTAGGATTTTGAGAGAGAAAATACAATTTTGCGCCCAATACATTAAAAACTTGCTTAATTTGTTATTTATTAACTTAACCAATTAAACTAAGACTAAATTACAGCACACATGGATATTTTGCTAGGCATGGAATCGACTAACTGCCGATCTTGCGTAAGTGCCAAGAGGTTTCTTTTGATATTATCTGGGGCGAACTGTTTCCGGCAAACGACTTCCCCGCCAGTGAGAAACCCGCAAGTTGGGAGCGATTCTATTGATTGGAGTTAAGTATGAACGCGTATCATGAATGCTCAAACGTATGAACGCGATTTAATGCTCCCCAATAATCAGTAGGAAACTGTAACATATACTGGTTTAAGACAGTTGAATTTTTAAAGTCAAATGATTTAGGTTTCGAAGAGGGATTCACGTGCCAATGGAAGAGACCACAAAATTGATCACATTGAACTTTTTAAAAGTGTTCTGAAGGGTACCAAAATAAATAATCATGTAAAAGCATAAGTAAATATTTTTATTAACAAAAAGTATAATAGTAAACAAATAGCTTCTTTTGACTAGAAAAAGTCTTTATTGCGCTTTTCGTTTACCAGTATTAGCAGAAAGTTTTTTGAATTTTGATAAGCTCACAGTGGATGAACCTTTTCTCTTAATACCACTGGCAACCGATTTTTCTTTAGGGGATGGGAATATATCCTCTTTACTTGATCCACCCAAGCCATTATAAAGCACATTAGAAGAACCACCTTTTCTGAAGTCAGATATACTTGTGGTTTGTTTGAATATGGAGAACTAGAAGTAAAATACAAAAACAAGTAATTGGCAGATTTTACATTTAGGAATTTGAGTTTTAGAACATACTAAAATGTTAAATCCTTACTTTGCTAGCTTCATTTGTATTTACTAATCCTTTGGTTTCAATACTATTTAGCAAGCCTAAACCACTTGGTTTCACCAATAGGTAAGGTGATACCTTGCTGATCTAAAAAATTACAAAAATTATAGATAGTAATTGTCCATACCCTTATGTTCTGATAAATAATACTTGAGCAATGGTTCCTAAACAAATACAAAAACATAATAAATTTATTTACTTAAATTCCTTAAAAAAATAAAATTTACTTGCATTTTCATATGGTGTTTCTGATGATTTTGATATATCAACAGAAACATTCATGTGATGAGTTTTTCCTATTACTGGTGTCCTGCTATAGTTGACAGGACTTTCGGTTATAATTCTCTGAATGCTATTGTTAAGGGAATCTGAATGGTTTTTGCAAGACGCCTTAACATTCAACTGAGAATATTTATCTTTTAAAAATTGTACTTCTTTGATATAATTTTCTTTAAGTATTTCCAATTCTCTCCTAAAAGTGTCCAAAGATATACCATAGTCATATGACAATATGCAAATACAGCAATTTAAATTTTCAATTTACCTACCTTATATCTTGGCTCTCAATTTTATACTTTGAAATTTGTTGTTCACAAGTTATATGACTTGACTGAATTTGATTCAACTGCTTCTGCAATTCTCTTTTTTTTCTGTCTGAGTCAATCAATGACCTGTGTGTAAATCGAAATTTCACTTACATGTAATATAAATTATAGATAGATTACTTCTTTAGTGTGGAAGCCAGTAATGCTAGCGATTCAATATTGGTTTCATTTCTAATGATATCTTCTACTTCTTTTCTAGTTCCAGTAAGAGCCAATTCCACATTTTCCATGCTTTTGATCCTACTTTTAAGATGATGAATTTCTGCATCTAATTTCTCACAGTCTTTTGCCCTCTTTTTAAAAAAATGGACTTGCTCTTTTAAACCCAGCACTGCTGAATTATGAGCTTTCTCTGTTTGTGTTAAATTTGATACTTCCTGTCTGTAATGATTGACACTTATTTATCAAATACAACATTCATATCACGAAGCAGTATACCTTAAACCTTCATTTTGCTTCTTGACTTTTCCATACTTTTCACTCAGATTCTGTAACTCTTTCTCTTTTAGTCTCATTTGATATTCCAAGCTGTCAAGTTTGTTCTGCAAGATGATTGGATCTTCATTAATACCTTCACAACTGGCAACATTAAAATATATCCTATGTATTACCCTTGGTGTAACTTTGTTTCTACACTGGGGGCAAGTTTTTGATCTAAAATTAACAGCTTTATAATTGTGATGTTTACAGTTACTAAAGTACCGTTCCATCCAGTGTGCAAGGCAATGATAATGAAATATGTGGCCACATGGTGTGACCGAAGTTTCGGAATTAGGCGTGAATAAATCGCTGCAAATCACACAATTTATATGCATATTATTTCAGAATTAAAATTCATTCAGAATTAACAGGTTTACGCATTTACATATCGCATCGGACCAATAAAAAAAAAACGCTTGAGGTTCTCATTTGATAAAAACTTCTTTCAAAAAAACTATATGCTGAAAAATATAAACGGCCGAAAATTCGTTTTTGTTTGAAGTGCAGCACAGAACACTTTTTTTTCTTTTCTTGGAATTTTCTTAACATGAGCTCGTCAACTAAGGGAATTCGCCCATTACCGACTACCGTTGAGGGTTTTTCATAAAAGTAAAAGTAAATTAAAAATGGACCAGTTACATTGTTCGCATTCACCGGACGTAGCGAAGCGCTCCCGATACGTGGCGGTAGCGACTGCGATTGGATGCGTGTTGGACGTTTGAATTTACATAGCCGTGGCGGAAACGTCCGGTACATCATGCACTACAAATCCAACGTGTTGTGGGGTAGACGCCATTTTTAGTAGCGAATTTATTTTTGCTAGGTAGCGGTAGCGAAGCGATGGGTATTGGCAGAATTTGGTCTTGAAAGAGGAATTTGGTTAAGGTGTATTGGACAGTGATGGTGAGTACAAAATTCCAACATAATAAATTTATTTATTTATTATTTCAGTTTCCCAACGGGAAAGTTTTCTCGAAAACCCCACGAATTTTCGAAGATCCTATGAAGGTATGTCTTTTTTCCAAACAAACGCAAATTACATTCACATGAAATAGAGATGCAATTTTAAGTTATTTGCAGAATGTATTTTCACTAAACCGAAGAAATATTGGACAGGATATGGAGAAACCTGAAAGATCTACACAGCCATCAAAGACAATATAGGGAAAACTGGAAGAGGTAGAGTTTACTAGGAATATTATCACCAGATTGATTAAATACATAGGGAGGACAAAACAGTTAATCTCCCTAACATAATACCTCTACAATGGTTCCAGGCATAATGAAAAAAAGCCCCTTAACAGGTGGAAACCACTCCAATCAGAGCAACATGTGTATCCCTGTGTAGGTTGTTTCAACAATTTTTTTATTGGTATAATTAAATTAATTAAAGGCTTATAACATGTTTTTATTTTAGAAGTACCTTGGCTAGGAAGTCGAAGAGTTTAATGTTTTATCTACGAAGAAGGCTAACAAATATCGAGGAAGGTCGAGTACAAGAAATTAACCTCTTACGAAATGCCATTGAAAGAAGTAAGAAAATCCAAGAGGAAAGAAATAAAATTTTGCACTTACTAAAAAAAGAACAATAATTTGAAAATATATTTTTATTTGTTATAAGAGCATATTTGCTATTTGGTTCCTTTCCTCATTCCTTACAGTTTTGGAAGTATTTGGTATTGGACACCTTCATTATCCTCAAATATTCGAATTGGTTCTGCTAATTCCAAAGTCATTTGACTTCCTTCGTTTTCAATTAAAATGTCCATAACGTCCTTTCTACTAATTTCTGATGTAGTAGGTCCTAGAATACAAAGATGTTTCCACTTTTTTGACACATGTTAGATCAGCAGCACTGCACACAAACACTGAAATAGATGTACCTTCGAAAAAAATCTAAATCTCAAAATCAACAACAAACAAGACACCATAACATACGTACACGTTGTCAGTCGCTACCGCTACGTATGGGGGCGTTTTGCTTCGTCCGCTGAATGCGACCATTTCCCTTCATGCACAGTAATGACTACTCTCAAATTTAAAAAAGCAGTCTAAAATTTATTGCACACCAAGTCTATTTACAAGCGTATAGCATATACACTAAGAAAGTTACATCCACGCACACACATATATTATATATATATATATATATATATATATATATATATATATATATATATATATATATATATATATATATATATATATATATATACAGTGTGTCCAAGATAAGGATGCACAGCATGGGGATCTCGGAAACTATAAGAGATACAGTGTCGGTTAAATTAGACAAAAGTTGCTCATTTTGATACCGAACAAGATCCCGTTTTACAAATTTGAAAATTCCAAGCCGTTCCGGAAATATCCGAGAAAAACCGAAATATTGCGATTTCGTTTTTATTATTTTTTAAAGCTATTTGAAAAGATATGAAAAAACGGAAAACACTTTTCCATTGGCACTTTTTAATCTCTCCAAATTGACGTTAACAAATTTTCATTACAGCGTTTCGATTCCATGGAACCACCATCAACTTTGATTTTTCTTATGGGACGGAAAAAAAGTACACACAGTATTAGGTTGTGCTTTTCATTGCGAATTCAACGATGTACGATACAATACGGTTACTTATGTTTTTATCCAGAAAAATGGATTTTTAATACATTTCAGCATTTAAATGGAGTAGGCCATGACAAAATGACATCCAGTCAATTTCAATGACACATTAATGTTATTTGTCTTTGTTATCAGTCGATCATAAGTTTATTCCTTTAGTTATTGTTTTTGTATTTTTATTGTTGTTGTCTTTTTCTAATTTATTTTGTTCTACAATGGAGGGAGGTAATTTTACAAACGAAGAAAAATGTGATATGCTGTCTTGCTACATCTGATGCCAAAGAAATTGTGTGGAAGCCGAGCGTATGTATTCTAACAAATACCCAGAGCGGAGACAACCTGACAAGAGTATTTTTCGGCGTTTGTTATTTAATCTGAAAGAATATGGATCATTTAAGAAGCCTGCATTATCCCGACAAAAACCTTCCAATGAAGAAAACCAATACATTGTTCTACAATCTGTTATCGAAAATCCACAAACTTCTACCAGAGAAATTGAAGACCAGAATGGGGTAGCTAAATCTACAGCTCAGTTTATTTTAAGGAAAAATGAATTTAAGCCTTACAAATTCAGAATATGTCAAGGATTAAAACCGGGTGACGACGAACGACGTAGACATTTTTGTGAGTGGTATACCAGGATGTGTGATGAGAGTTTTAATTTTCCATATAAAGTGATTTGGTCTGATGAAAGTATGGTGACCAATAACGGTATTTATAACAGGCGCAATACACACTATTGGTCGCAACAAAATCCACGTGTTAATAGACTATCCAGACATCAAGTTCGCTTTGGGTTTAATATTTGGTGTGGGATTTTTGGTAGCAAGATTATAGGCCCTATTTTCTATAATAATTCCTTAACTTCCGAGCGGTACCTTGACATCTTGAGGCACGATTTAGAAGATGCCTTAGATGATTTACCGCTAGGCGCTGTGCAAGGCTGCTGGTTCCAACAAGATGGTGCCCCAGCCCATAACTCCAGAGAAGTTCGCCAATATTTAACTGAACGGTTTGATGGAAAATACATTGGGACTTACAGTGAAACACCTTGGCCTCCAAGGTCCCCGGACTTAACTCCCTTGGACTTTTTCTTATGGGGCTACATAAAAAATGAGGTATTCAAAGAATGTTTTGACAACGAGGAACAATTACGTCAATCAGTACGAGCAGCGTTTAATAAAATTACTCCTGAAATGTTAAGTCGTGTTTTGGAGTCTACCGAGAGACGGGCGTACTTATGCCTAGAAAATGGAGGTCATTTATTCGAACATTTGTTATAGAATTTGTTTTTCATTAACTTGTTGGATTTAGTTGTTATGTTAAATGAACAGTTAGAGTTAGTAAATAAATAAACACATTAACTCGAACTTGTCAACCATTTTCTTTTGCCTTTCATCGTTCGGATCTCATGGCCTACTACAATAAAATACTAGAAATGTATTAAAAAGCCATTTTTCTGGATAAAAACATAAGTAACCGTATTGTATCGTACATCGTTGAATTCGCAATGAAAAGCACAACCTAATACTGTGTGTAATTTTTTTCCGTCCCATAAGAAAAATCAAAGTTGATGGTGGTTCCATGGAATCGAAACGCTGTAATGAAAATTTGTTAACGTCAATTTGGAGAGATTAAAAAGTGCCAATGGAAAAGTGTTTTCCGTTTTTTCATATCTTTTCAAATAGCTTTAAAAAATAATAAAAACGAAATCGCAATATTTCGGTTTTTCTCGGATATTTCCGGAACGGCTTGGAATTTTCAAATTTGTAAAACGGGATCTTGTTCGGTATCAAAATGCGCAACTTTTGTCTAATTTAACCGACACTGTATCTCTTATAGTTTCCGAGATCCCCATGCTGTGCATCCTTATCTTGGACACACTGTATATATATGATGACACTATATTCCGGGATATCATCCGTTCGCTCGTTGAACTCCGACAGGAATCCTGCATCCGACTGGGATCCTGCAAATCTTGCATCCGACTGGAATCCTGCAGACGTTTCGCCAAAATCTCACTTGGCATCTTCAATGCTCGCGCTCCGAAAACACTTCGAACACTCGGAGCGCGAGCATTGAAGATGCCAAGTGAGATTTTGGCGAAACGTCTGCAGGATTCCAGTCGGATGCAAGATTTGCAGGATTCCAGTCGGATGCAGGATTCCAGTCGGAGTTCAACGAGCGAACGGATGATATCCCGGAATATAGTGTCATCACATTTTTCCATCCGTGAATCAATACGTGAGAATATATATATATATATATATATATATATATATATATATATATATATATATATATATATATATATATATATATATATATATATATATATATATATATATATATATATATATATATATATATATATATATATATATATATATATATATATATATATATATATATATATATATATATATATATATATATATATATATATATATATATATATATATATATATATATATATATATATATATATATATATATATTCCTGTGGTGCCTAGTGGTGAACGAGATATTGCATATTCTGAGGGAAGAGCACGGGGTCTATGCTCAGGCATATGCAGACGACCTTGTGATAATGACGCAGGGGACGGACATGAGGAGGATGCAGGGGCTCCTGAACGGGGCATTGGCAAGATTCTCACAATGGTGCCTGGACAGCAAGTTGGCTGTCAATCCTGGCAAGGTGGAGATGGTCATCTTCACTAGGAAAAGGAAGATGGAGTGCAACCTCAACAGTTCGATGGATGGGGTGCCTCTTTCTGCAAGCAGAAGTGTCAAGTACTTGGGCGTATGGTTGGGCTCTAAGTTGACCTTCCAGGAACATATAACATCAAGGATCAGGTCGGACTTTGGAGCTCTGTGGGCGTGCCGGAGAGCGGTAGGGGGCACTTGGGGCCTGGGGCCGAAGATCATGCAGTGGATCTACGGTACCATGGTGGTGCCTATGCTCACGCATGGGGCAGTGGCATGGTGGCCGGGGACCAAAAGAGCGGGAGCAAGGCTAGTTCTTGACAGACTGCAGAGATTGACTTGCCTCTGCATAACGGGCGCCATGAGAACGGCGCCCACGAGGGCCCTGGAGGCTCTGGTGGGGCTGCCCTCTCTGGCGGATCGGGTGCAGATGGAGGCGGCCAGGACACCTGTGAGGCTGGCGAGCTGCGGGCTCTGGAGGGAGGGAACCTTCAATCGGGGTCCGTACGACATTTTAGAGGGCTGTCGCGGGGATCGCGGGGTCATGGGCATGCCGAGTGACGTCATGATCCCCGAGATGACCTTCATTGATAAATTGACCTTTCTCTTTCCATCAAGGGAAGATTGGAGAGAGGGCAGAGTCGGCTCCTGGGATGGACTTGTCTGGTACACGGACGGGTCCAGAATGGGAGATCTGGCCGGAGCTGGAGCGTACTGCGAGACAACGGGATCAAGCTTGTCGGTTCCTCTGGGTCAGTACTGCACTGTGTTTCAGGCGGAAATTTTCGCTTTATTGATGGCGGCCAGAGAGGTGCTTCGGCTCAACTACGGAAGCAGGAGAGTCTTCTTCTGCTCGGATAGTAGGGCTGCACTCGTGGTGCTGAAGTCAGTGCGTACGCGCTCCTTGTTGATAAAGGAGTGCAAAGGGGTACTGAGGAGGGTGGCTGAGGAGAGAAAGGTCACGTTGGTCTGGGTCCCGGGTCACACCGGTATCCGGGGCAATGAGGGAGCGGACGCCTTAGCAAGGGAGGGCTCCTCGCATAGGCATATAGTGCCAGAACCCCGCTTGGGGATCGCCCCGTGTGTGAGGCGGGGGGCTCTCGAAGCCTGGGCGAGAGACCGGGCCGCGGGGTGCTGGAGAGTTGCTCCGGGAATGAGGCAGGCGAGGCTTATGATGGATGGACCCGCCCCTCCTCGGACCAGGGAGCTGCTTAGACTGACCAGAAGGGAGTGTAGAGCACTAACAGGGGCCTACACAGGACATTGCAGGCTTAGGAGGCATCTTTGCTTGCTAGGCATTGCAGACGACCCGGAGTGTAGGTGGTGCATGGAAGGGGAGGAGACCCCGTATCATCTGCTCACCGAGTGCCCTGCCTTGACATGGGCAAGATTGGGAGTCTTCGGAACGGCCCTGATCGATCCGGACTCAATGCACGGTATTGGGCTAAAGGAGTTGCTGACCTTCTATAGGAGGGGCGGCATTCTGGACGCCCTCTAGAGCGGCCTGGGGGCACAACGGGCCTATCTGGTGGCCTAAGTGCTTGGACGCCCGCGAGGGCGCCCCCCTTTAATACCAATACCAATACCAATATATATATATATATATATATATATATATATATATATATATATATATATATATATATATATATATATATATATATATATATATATATATATATATATATATATATATATATATATATATATATATATATGATGACACTATATTCCGGGATATCACTTCGAAGTGTTTTCGGAGCGCGAGCATTGAAGATGCCAAGTGAGATTTTGGCGAAACGTCTGCAGGATTCCAGTCGGATGCAAGATTTGCAGGATTCCAGTCGGATGCAGGATTCCAGTCGGAGTTCAACGAGCGAACGGATGATATCCCGGAATATAGTGTCATCACATTTTTCCATCCGTGAATCAATACGTAAGAATATATATATATATATATATATATATATATATATATATATATATATATATATATATATATATATATATATATATATATATATATATATATATATATATATATATATATATATATATATATATATATATATATATATATATATATATATATATATATATATATATATATATATATATATATATATAAAGTATTCACAGAAAATATGGCAGATTCCAAAGAAATAGGATAGGGAACATAAGAATTAATCAGGTCTCTACAAAATGATTAGAGTCTTTCCGATGCATCACACAATCGAAAAATATGTGATCAAGGTCTACTACATGTAGATGCGTAGGCATTCACAGGAGTTAGATGCCTTTACATTAATCCTATATAGGGGGGTCGGATAACAGCGGTGGTTACTTCTTAATCTGCACATACTAGTAATTTTTCTGCTGAGGTTTAACCCATGAAACCAGAGTTTAGCCGGAGGATTCTCGTGGAAGATGGTATAAATCCTACCTTTGTAAGATCCAGAAACTAAATAGATAATTTTTAATAACTCTAAAAAACTCAGTAAAGTGAGGTTTTAATTCCAATGGAACATTCTCTCTAGCTTGGTTGGCCACCCTATCCACAATTTCATTATTTCTAATACTTAAGTGGTTAGGAACCCAACAAAGAGAGCCAGGACTTTCAACCTATTTTTAACATCTTGGAGAATGCTTATCGATTTTGCATTGAACTCGGTAGACTTCATACTTTGAGTCAGAGACTATTAAAGCTCTAACCAAATTATATGAATATATCATAAAAGCTCCTATTTCCACCCTATCATCCCCGTTAGAGGCATCAGTAAAGACATATGTATAATCTGAGGACCATCTACGTTCACACATCTCCCGAAATACCTATTCATTAGGAAAACTCTTAGAAAACCCCGAATCTACAAAATGCACTGGCCGGAAGTAGGACTCAAGATCAACCTGAAAACAGGGAAAAACACTATAAGGAGTCAATGGACTCGGATAAAGTGAAATCAGATTGAATGCCTCAATTAAAGGAGACACATAGTTATTACGAAAAAAATTAAAGTTTTGTTGCATACACACATATAGTTCCTGAACCGTATTATACAAGGGACTATTCTTGGCACTATACGACTTAAGGAGAAGTTTAGACGCCAGATATGACCTTCTATCATTCAAACCACTTTCACACGCTTCGGCCAGAATTACATTAATAGGGGTCGATTTCATAAAGCCCAGGGTAATTCTAAGTCCCTGAGATTGGACTCTATCTAGTTTAGCAATAACCGAATGTAAACAGTTGCCCATAGTGATAGATCCATAATCTAGATGAGATCTTACACGAAATAAGAAGAGTAGACGGATGCACAACCCACCAAGTCTTTGCTAAATACATCATAACATTCATCCCAGCTGGAGCTCTAGATATCCTGCGGAACCCAGGATAGTTTAGAATCGAATACTAAACCCAAATAGGTGGTATAGTTTTTTCACGGGATATTTTCCGTATTAACAGATTTATACGGGTGGTGGGTAAACCTAATTTTTATTTAAGAAATAATTACCGCGACCGACTTAGAAGGACTAATGGATAAATCCAGGCCGTGCACAAAATTTTCTAATGTTTGTTTAAGAACTAAACTCAAACAAGGCAAGTCTCGCTCTGCCCCAACAAGGGTAATATCATCGGCATACTGAAGTAAAGTAACTTCCGCAGGAATGCACTTAGAGATGCGATTGACATAAGTATTATAAAGAAGAGGGGCCTGAGGAGAGTCTTGTGGGACTCCCTTGGATGTAAATTGAGGACTAACTAACACAGAAGTGGAAGTATCCCTAACCACAAGCTTCCTCTCTGATAGCAACCTTTTCATTGTATCCGCGATATCTAGTGGAATTCCCATTCTATTCATAGCCACATAAAGATAGTTATTGTTAACGTTATCATAAGCAGAAGCTATATCCAGAGTAACCAAGATACTGGGAATATTACTACTAAGTTTGCTCAGAATTTTGCTGCTCAACACGGCAAGATTATCATAAGTCCCTTTACCCCGGCGGAATCCGGTTTGAGAAATAGAAAGTAACATATAGTGTTCCAGCTCCCATTCCTCTTTAACATAATTTCCAGAATTTTACAAATACAGGAGGCAAGGTTAATCGGGTGATAAGAAGATAACATCTCTAGATCTCTATCTGGTTTAATGATTGAGCTCCCCAACTCCCTGGGGCAGGTCTAATATTCTTAAGAACCGAGTTAAAAAGCTTGACAAGGTAGACTACAGCCTCAATAGGAAGATGCTAAGAAGAGGAAATGCAATTTCAACCATTCCAGGACATGTGCTTCTGCGACTTTCAACGGCGGAAACAAACTCGTCCAAGACGAACCTAGGGGAAGATTTAACGGTAAATATGGGAGAAGTGAGAATACTAACTGTTTCAACTGGAGATCTAAGAGAATCAAGCATCATCTGCGGGACCGAGTAATTCATGGAAACGCGCCTATTGAGAGGATCTGGCAAAGATCTTTACCGTTTTCCAAATGTCGGAAATCTTATTGAAGGAAGCTTTCACACAATTTTATAAAACTACTTTTTCTTTTAGCTCTAAGAGTCCTTCTGCAAAGAGCATTAACCTTTTTAACGTTAATAATAATTAATAATCAGAGGGAATAATTTTTATTGGTTAAAATAAAATACATAATTGTATTATGTTTGATAAACTCAAAATACTTGGACTAAGATTTTATTCGCAATTTTAATAGTAAATAAAATAACTGCTATTTTATATTTATAAAAACGCTAAAATATTTATAACCATATCCAAATAAAACGAAAGAAGCAACTGTACTCCCAATTCACAAGATTGAAATTTCTTTAAAATTCACAAAATACTCGTTATTCTTTGCTACGGCTGCAGCTAAGTAGATCATCAGAGGTTCCATGGTGTAATGGTTAGCACTCTGGACTCTGAATCCAGCGATCCGAGTTCAAATCTCGGTGGGACCTAACAATTTTTTTAAATTGCTGGTTTAATCTTAGTATTCACTACCTTTTAACAAATTTGAATTGTCAATTTACAAGAAAATTACCCTAATTTATAGAGTCGCACTCTGCAGCTTCGGAGAAGTTATTACTCTACATTGACCTAATACCCACGATGTTGGTTAATTTCAGCTTTGTGTATATTTCGTCCGAAAAATGTGGAAAATAATAAATTAATTTCTCCAAATCCGCGAGATAGGGAAATATCAGAATGAGCAGAAAGTGGTAGCGGGGAGAAAAATGTAACGATATATGACTCCGCCCCGTTAAAAAAACTGCGACACTGAAAATGTTTTATAATGTTAAAAGAGAGTAAAAAACCTACTTGATCAAATTTTCAGCAAATGTCCCCCTTCCGTTATTCCCAAACGTCTAGTGTTTCATCATCCGTGTAGATATAGGGTGTTTTTAACAAGTATTAAAAAAATAAATTTCATTAATCAACCGTTCAGAAGAGAAGGATGATCAAAAAGAGAGATAAAAATGGTGGTAGTATGCTCTTTGATGCTACCCAAATTTGATTTTAAAAAATGTAACGCTATCTTACAAATATGATTAAAAAGCAATTGGTTTTTTTTTAATACTTGACCTTTTTATTCAAAACATATTAAAGAGATGAATCTATGCATGAGGGATTTTGTCACAGTCTGTCTGGTCCCCTATTAATAATTTTTTATATCTTTCAGGGTATTCTCAAAAAATGCAATATCGTTTCCCAATTTATTCAGTTTGCCAAGACAATTTTCGAATACTTTTCGTTTCCGTCATGAAATTCGTCTGAACTTTTCCTGAAAATTTCGCTTAAAGAGTTGCTTTTTTGGAAAACAAGCTGGCTCGCAGCATCGCCTCTGCTTTTTTCATCGACGTTCTCATTTTTTCTGTTCGAGCAGTCGAAATTACTGTAAGAGTATCTCGCATTCGATGTTCTGTAAATTGAAGGCATCAAGTTTGGTGATAGGGAATTTTCGAGAGCGTTTTTCGCGGCGGATTGTGCTATCAAACTCTGCAAACTGGGAGACGGGAATTCACTCAACTGGTAGCTGTTGGAAATCTGGGATTCAAAGTTTTCGCGGATCGCGTTGATGCTCCTCTTCATGTCGTCCTTCGACACATTCTGTAGGTCCAATGTGTCGTTATTTATTGCCTTTTCCAAAAGGGACGTCAAAGATTGAAGGCACGATCTTAAACCGGCTTCGCGGCTTTTTCGCTCCTTGTCCCTACGCACGTATTCGCTTGGCGATATGGCTAGCAGATTATCTACCTACGCAATACAAGAAAACATTTTCATTTCAATGGTCTCTTCTAATTTGTTATAAAATAAGGCAAAGGAAAGTAAAGTTTATTAAGCAACTTTTTCCATATTTGCTAGGGCACTTGTTCGTGCAATTCGTGTGATTATGATGTTATGTTGGTTAAATTGTTCAAATTTATTATTACTTGCATCAGAAATTTATTTTAATTCCGTCACTTTATATAAAATCTTTATATATAATAACTCCTAAAAAACCGAAATAAAAATAGTCTATTTTCCGACCTGTGAGTGAGTAGATAGATACATTCTGAATTTCTAAACAGCTTTAAACTGAGCCCAGTTTTCAACTTAAAAAAAATGAAAATACAAAGATTGTGAGGCAGAGGCAAATCAAAAATTTGCAACGAATTAAAAATTGCCAATCAAATCAGAATAGTCCGATAAGTTTTTAGTATTTCCATTACTGTTGTTCATAAACTAGTCATTAGGTAGTTACCTAATTTTAAAATGAAGTAAATTATAGAAAATACAAAATTTTGAAAGTTTTTCTAAAACAACTATGTACCTAAAATTATACAGGGTGTGTAAAAAACATGCACTAAAATAATGATAAGTTCATAAACACGTAGGGCCGGAAAAGTTTAGTTTTCGAGATATGTTACATATTTCTCGTATGATGTTGAAATTTGAAAACGTCATTTACAATGATAAAGGTGTAATTTTGCTGTAACTAGATAAAAAGTATGATATTCAGTGCGATCCCAGGATGCATTTTAACGAACTCTATTGGATTTCTACACAATTCCAAAACTAACTTTTTGGCTCTTCAGTCGTGTATTTTGCATCGTCTTCAAGCAACAAAAATAAATAATATAAACATTAACACAACGTATTTGTATGAATATTTATTTAACACCTTGTACCTATATTTTTAAAGAGTAAAAATAATTCATAATCAAAATTAACGAAAAAATTTAAAGCTGAATTATTAACGTTCCGATAATCTTATCAAATAGAAAAATTACAAATTATAGGTTGCTAATTTACAGGGCATTTCCACTATGCGGTGTCGGACAAATTATCATGTTCCCTCGAGAATATTAGGGCAACTTTCCATGCGTAGAGTTTTAATTTCATTTGTAAAGGTACCAATTTAACAAAATATTTTAAATTAAAACCTACGAACTATGTACCTATTTTTGACTGTCAATCCATTCAACATTATTTTTTTCCAAAATTTTGTGGTCACTGCTATTTGGAATAATTGCGACTATACTTTAACATTATCCCTTTATCTCAAATACCAAAAAGGGAAAATTCCATTTCTGTCATATCTCGTGTCACAAAAAAATAGAAACCTATATTTCCGTCCTTAAATATAAGTGGAATACTTTGTAAAAGTGGCCAAAATCTAATACTCTATATAGTGTTAATCCGCCGAGGTATTAGTTTTTTAAGTATCGGAGGAAAACTGTGTGCCTTTCTTTTCATTTCCTTTTATTTCGTTATTATTTATTATCAAAGACGGACCTGCTTAAGTCAAAAATAAATTAATAATTATGGTAAACCACATAGTTTCTCAAATGTATGGACGTGGTACCCACCTATGATTAATAGTTAAGAAATAAATATAACTGAAATCTTGAAAACTTGAAATCAATAAGATCTAGCGGCGTTCAAGAATGAACATGGCTGTTGACAGTTCATCCATCAACTCGACACGTTTCAGTTTAGATGTAGCATTTTTATAGCAGCGTTTTTTAAATTCGCGTAAAATGCAGATTGTTAAAATTTGGAGGCATGCGCAGAACGTTCCCATCTCTACGAAAATGTTACAGCCGCCCTAGACGCATCCATTTTGACAGCACCAGGGCCACTATTATATCAAATAACTATGTGATTTACACATACACATGCTTTTTTTCAAAATTAAGGTTGCTAAAGTAATTTTGATTCATTTTGCAAAGAAACTTCCATAGGCTACTGTAATATTAATTATTATCTTCTGGACTCCTACTGCGTCGGTTTTTTATAAATCAAACTTCCTGATCTCCGCCAAACATTCTGTTGGCTTCTTCAGAGCAAGTTTGATGCAGAAGGAATCCAGAAGGTTTGTAAATAGTAATTTTGATTAAAAGCAACAAAACGCTTTAAGACAACAGGAGTAAATCAAATTTTACAATTTTCTATTCTTTTTTTTTTTGGCTTACCCTGTCATCGAATTTGTTCCTCAACATCGAATCGCCCTGAGATATGATCCAACCGAAATTGGATGCTCCACTAATTTTCCTCTGCAGTCGCTTGCTGTTAAAGGGCATATACAAAATTTGCTTTTGGTCAATGGACTCCGTTTTTTTTTGAAAAAGTGTGGGTTGTAAGGGAACCAAACTATCGTACGAGCAACTTTCTAAAACGAAATCTGCATTTAATTACAGGAACCCATTTCAACAGACTCCTAAATAGTTTTTTTGTTGTCATAAACTGCATCTATTCTAGAATATATTAGGCAAAAGTTTGGTTAATAAGTATTTTTTGCAAATCGGTTTTGCAAACCAAAATTTTCTTAAAAATGTTCACTAAACAAAACAAATCGAAAGAACAAATTTGTCACAACAATAATTTTAAAAACTAAGAATTATTATTATTTATAAAACTTCTGAATTCCTCCAGCGTCCATTGCTGTTGAGTTGAACTTGCTAAAGTTACGCCAATCATCCTGTTGACTTCTTCAGAGCTTGACTGAAATTGGCTCGCATTTTTCTCTGTACCTTCTAATATATTGTTCGAGGGGCATTCCCATATTGGTGAGAGGTAAAGACCTGAATCGCGATTAAGATTGTTTGGTTGCTTATATATTTCTATAGATAGATGATTTTTCGTTGGTAGAAGAATTGATTACATGCAAGAATTTTAGTTTCATAGAAAAAAAAAAGCAACTGCTGATGAGATTATTTGTCTTAGTCTTAAGGCGCTTTCATGTTCTTTGAGGCTAGTTGATATTTTTTATCTGGCCTCTCCAATGTATTCTTTGCCGCATATGCATGGAATGCAAATCTGTTCTTAGGAGATCAGAGGTAAGGTGTTTTAATTCTGTAAACAAGAGAGTTGATGACCGATGATATTTGGGCCGGATGGTGATGTGACAATGCATTAAGGTATCGGTCTGTGTGTAAATTTTCAGTTAACACAACGACGTAATGTTAAGTCTGATTTTCTATCGATAAGAACATCTAAGAATGGGAGGTTATTATTAGTTTCTAATTCAATGGTAAAACGTATGTTAGGGTGTATAGAAAATCTGCTAGGGATACTTGACCATGAGGTCAAATAACAAAAGTATCATCGAAGTAGCGTTTTTATAATTTTGGTTTTAGATGGAAGGTGTCGACAGCTTTCTTCTGAAAGGCTTTCATAAATATATTGGCATGATTGGTGATAACGGAAAACCCATTACTGTTCCCGAGGTTTGTTTAAAAATTTGACCGTTATATTCCAGCCAAGCATTTTTCAATGAAGGTGAGAAGGTTTGGTTCCAGATTCTCGGATTTTAATATATCTGAAATGATGTTGAGAATTTAGGAATAAGGACTTTTTAATGCCCTTGCTCATGGATACATACATGAGCATGAACCCCGCCTGAGTAAAACCAGAGCTGTCTTCTTTGAATTCACTCAGGCAACTCTCAGCAGGCGCGTCCACGTCGCGGGGGTGGGCCCGACACGCGTATCAGTCGGTGGCTAAGTTCTGCTGGGGACCCAGTATAGCGGGGTATAACGCTGTCCCCTTGCCCGGGGATACGGGCGAAGACCACACCGGCGGTGAAGGCGGAGAAGAAAGGTGGATCCGGCGTAGGTGGCAACCCAGCCCTCAGGGGGTAGAATGAAGGCAGACTGGAGTTGGGCAGCAGCAACTCCAACACCAGGGTAAAGCGGGGAAGAGATACTTCGGTACGGTTTGCTACTGGATATTAATGTGCGACTATCAAATAATCGACAGTATCGGATATTCAACTGCGATGCAGAAGGCAAGGAGAAACCACTGCATTATGTTCTCAAGAATAGCCACTATGGATATAAGTACTAGTCAAGAAACGGCCCCGAGTCCCCGGCGTCCCTTAGATGGGACAGGGGTGCGAAGAATCCCCGGGTGGAAGTCAAAAACTGTATTAAAGCTTATCGCAACATGGAATATTAGAACCCTGTTTCAGACCGGAAAGCTTGCAACAACAATAGGAGAAATGCAAAGACTACAAATACAGATACTGGAACTATCGGAAGTTGTTGTTGTTGTTGCAGACAATGGTGATCACAGTAATGGAGTCGGCATAATCCTAAGGAAAGAACTAAGACACTCAGTGATAAATTTCATCCCCTATAACAACCGCATGATGCTACTACAAATTAGAGCACATCCCTTAAATATAAATCTGGTACAGATCTACGCGCCTACAAGTGGGAGTAGCGAAGCGGACATAGAACAGTTCTACTCAGATCTAGAAGAACTAACAATAAATATTAAGAAAGAGGAAGTGCTCATTATAATGGGTGACTTCAATGCAAAGATTCGAAATGATAAGGTTCAAGACTGTGTTGGTAATTTCGGATTGGGTGCGAGAAATAAACGTAGACACAGATTGGTGGAATATTGTCAGGAGAAAAACCTAACAGTCACAAATACATTCTATAAGCTACATCCTAGAAGATTGTATACTTGGACGGCGCCGGGCGATAATGATCTTAGACGAATAAGAAATCAGATCGACTTTATAATGACTAATAAACGTTTTAGAAATGGAATACAAAGCGTAAAAACATATCCAAGCGCAGACGGCAACACAGACCATAACCTTTTGCTAGCCAATATAAAATTCCGCTTAAAGAAGCAAAGTAAATATAAACCGCCACTCAAGCTAAACGTAGAAAAACTTCGAACCGAACAATATAAACAATTATTCAACAAGAACCTCCATGAAACACTACACGGGGAGTAACTGGAACGATATGAAAAATACAATATTAAAAGCTGGGGAAGAAGTCCTCGGAAACATCCGAGTGAAACCAAAAAAAGAATGGATGACCCCCGAAATTCTTATACTTATGGAAGATAGAAGGAAGCATAAGAATAAAGACAGAGAAAGATATAACAACATAAATAGACAAATAAAACGCGACATCAAGAGAGCTAAAGAAGATTGACTGACACGCGAGTGCCACGAATTGGAAGAACTTCAGACCAAACACGACACATATAATTTACACAGCAAACTAAAAGAACTATCTAGGAAAACTAGGAATAACACAACTTGCATAACAAGGAATGAGCAAGGTCATATAATATTAGACGAGAAGGAAATAAAGCACTATTGGGAGAATTACATTAGACAACTATTCCACGACGACCGAGACAACATAGAAATAACAACAGCAAACCAGCGAAACGACTCTCTGGAAAAACTTCCTGCCGAACTCAAGTATGCTCTAAAAAACAGTAATAATAAAAAAGCCACAGGCCATGACAGGATGCCAATCGAACTCCTGAAAGCACTCGATGAAGAGAACATAATCAGGCTAACACAAATTTTTAATGATGTGTACAATTCCGGAAACATCCCAATAGAATGGCTAAAATCAACTTTTGTTCCATTACCTAAAAAGAACAACCCAATATCAGGCCATGATTACAGACTTATCAGCCTCATGTGCCACCCCTTGAAGGTCTTGCTGAAGATTGTCCAGAACAGAATTTATAAGAAATGCGAAGAACAGCTGGACAACTCGCAATTTGGCTTTAGAGGAGGAATGGGGACAAATATATATATATATATATATATATATATATATATATATATATATATATATATATATATATATATATATATATATATATATATATATATATATATATATATATATATATATGTTTTATAGATTACCAAAAAGCGTTCGATAAGGTGCAACACATGAAATTAATAAATGAACTGAAGAACATCCAACTAGACCAAAATTATATAAACATAATTAAAAGCATATATTGGCACCAGACAGCCACAGTAATAGTCAACAACTTGGAGACGGATGAGGTACGATTCCAGCGAGGCGTTAGACAGGGATGTGTACTCTCACCGGCACTCTTTAATTTATACTCTCAGGTAATCTTTCAAAAGGCTCTTTCGGACAGAGAAGGGGAAGAAGGAGAAATTATCAACAATATACGATTTGCGGACGATACGGTAGTCCTGGCTGAGTCTCTCGAAGACCTACAATTGCTGGTGGATAGAGTTTACAACGAAAGTCATGCAATGGGGCTCACAATTAACATAGAAAAAACTAAATTTATGGTTGTCTCAAAGAACCCGGCCAGGCAACATCAGTTATACATAGAAGAACGAGCTGTTGAACAAGTCGAAAAATACAAATATTTGGGAGCGTACATCACCTCTGGCCTAGATCAAGATCAAGAAATAAAGGTCAGAATCGAAATAGCAAGACAATCATTTCTTGATTACAGGAAGATACTCTGTAATAAAAACAGTTTGCGATTGAGGTTCGTCGAATGCTATATATAGTCACAATTATTATATGGAGTAGAAATCTGGACACTAAAAGCACAGATCATCAAAAAACTGGAAGCCTTCGAGATGTGACCGTATAGAAGGATACTAAAAATTCCCTGGACGGATAGAATTTCAAACGAAGAGGTCTTACGAAGAACTGGCCGCGGTAGAAAATTAATAACTTTAATAAAAAGACGCAAAACCGCATATCTGGGGCACATCTTAAGAAATGATAAATACCGTCTACTACAAACTATTATGCAGGGAAGACTAGATGGAAGAAGGGGTATCGGAAGAAAAAAGAAATCCTGGCTAAGAAATGTCAGGGACTGGACAGGGTTGAATGTGGGGGAATTGTTTCATGTTGCGAGGGATATAGAAGCGTTTGGAGTAGTGGTCGCCAACCTCCAATGAAATGGAGAAGGGACTGGAAGAAGAAGAATATATCTGAAATGATGTTGAGAATTTTAGGAATAAGGATTTTTTAATTGTTCAATCAAGTGAAGGGAATTAAGTACTAAACTATCGGTTTCCCTGAATAATTAAAAAGCATTACAATAGATCCACAAGACATTCTCGTTAGATTCGACATAGAATCCCTCGTTGCTAAAGTTCATATTTCTGAAACTCTCAACATCATTTCAGATATATTAAAATCCGAGAATCTGGAACCAAATCTGGTCATATTAATTAAAAATGCTTTTCTGGAACATATTTTTCTTATAATTGTCAAATTTTTGAACAAACTTCGGGAACAGCTATGGATTCTCTATTATCACCAGACATCGCGAATATATTTAAGAAAGCTTTCGAGAACACCTTCCTTCTGAAACCAAAATTATGGAAACGCTACGTCGATGATACTTTTGTTATTTGGAATTTGACCATTGAAATGGAAACTAATAATAACCTCCCATTCTTAGATATTCCTATCAATAGAAAATCAGAGCTAACATTGGGTCATTGTGTTTACAGACAACCTACACACATCTTCGATCTGTCAAAGACAAAATTCCATTTGAGATGTCTGGAGTTTACAGCATTCCATGCATATGCTGCAAAAAATACATTGGAGAGACCGGACGAAAAATATCAACTAGGCTCAAAGAGACCAAGACAAATAAACTCGTTTGCAGTTGCCGAACACAATCACGAAACCGCACATAAAATTTAATTCGTCAAAACTAAAATTCTTGCATGTAATCAATTCATTTACCAACGAAAAATCCGAGAATCTATAGAAATATATAAGCAACCAAACAATCGTAATCGAGATTCAGGTCTTTACCTCTCACCAATATGGGAACGTTTATGCCCCTCGAACAATATATAAGCAGGTACAGAGTAAAATGCGAGCCAGTCTCGGTTAAGCTCTGAAGAAGTCAACAGGGTGACTGGCGAAACGTTAGCAAGTTCAACTCAATAACAACTGACGCAAGAGGAATCCAGACGTTTTGTAGATAGTATTACAGAACCCTGTGGAAGTTGCTCTGAAAAATTATTATAGAACAGAGTAATTTATTCACAGGAACTAATACCTATGTTTCGTAATAATATAATAAATTATACTATGAGGTAAAATCACCTTGCAGATAATTTACTAAATTATAAAAAGCATAAGTTTAAAAAAGTCACACAAGTAGCTACATAACAGTACATTTAACTTTCTTAAAGGCAAGATTCTTTCATAGTTGCTTCGTATTCATGTAGGGTGTCGAAATTGTTGACCGACAGAAGATTCTTTCGGATTTTTAAAAAAATGTTCCATTCAAACTTTTTGCGTTTGAGGGGAGCAAATTGTAGTAATACAATACCTGCATAATTTAGCGATCTTTTATAGAACATGTAATTGAGTTTCGGATTTAGGAGCTATTCTCTATTGCGGGTAACGATTATTTATTTAATTTACGACAAAAGCTAAGGAAGCATCAATATAGAAACCAAGTAATTTTGATTAATTGATTTTGATTGATCGGTACAAGTATGGTTGGAAGATCAAACCGTGCAACAATCAAGCTTAAATGTTTCACAGTTTTGGTTAGCGTATTGCTGCTTGTTTGGTATTAAAATTATAAAGTATAGTATAACAGATTACCTCTAGATGCATGCTTTATCTTGAGTTTCTCGACAGCTCTGGCATTGGTCCTCTTCACTAAAGCATTGATTTCAAAAATCAGTAATAGATGAACGATACAAACAACGGCTGACAAAAATATTTCTATTGCGAATGGGGGATGTGATGCTACGCGGACAGTGATCGTGTTCGACAAGAATTTTATACTTTGCACGATAAACTCGTCCATCGTCCTACATTAATTTTGGTGTTTTCGGGAAACGACACATCAGACTTTAAAATGTCACTTGTAACATTGTCATCAACAATAGTTGATAACCAGTTATAGTAAATACTAATTGAAGTTTTTGAATTAGTTGTACAGGGTGGGCAAAATTCGGATATTTTGGGAGATGTTTGATACTTCTGGCAGAGATGGTCAAAAACGAGTACTAGGTTTAATTTCCAATTCAATTTCAAATATAAAAACCTCATCTTAATAGGCGGTGTAGTTTTTGCGATAAGTACCGTAGATTAAACGAAGAAACGCACAAATTTCAGAGGGCGGAATTGGCCCGCCGACGGAAAAAATTTCTCCACTGCATGCAGCAGGTTGAATACCACACACTCCGCTAGCGGAGGGGTTGTTGAAGTTACGAAACGCGATATTGTTTTATGAGAATTCAGTTAACTTTATATGCGGCCCGTCGATTGGCGAAATGGTGGATATGGATAAATTAATCCAATTAAGTCAGGAACGTCCAAGTGTTTGGAATCGGAGGGTAGACAAATATAAAGATAGAACGAGGAAAATGCTGGTAGAAAATTGGTGAGTTGATGGAAAGAGAATATTGGGAAGCTGGAAGAGATGGAAAAAACAAAACGTAACCAAGTACTTTACTGTTTTAAAAATATATTTTCTATATGTTAACGTTTTACGTTTACAATGCCAGTGAATAATATGGTTTTAAAATGAAAATAAGTAAAACCATGTTCATGATAATAAGTAAACAGGATATACGAAATTGTTAACTGTCTATCAGAGAGAATCCAGTAGAAAGAGTGTCTAAATCCACTTGTTTGTGAAGGATAATTAATTAGCAATGAGGCTTAAGAGATTAATTGTTTAATATCTACAATTTCTATCTAAACATCAAAGTCAGAAAGAATCCTTCGATGTTATATTTTCTCGACACTTCACCGGAGTAGTCATTGACGTTGACAAAGGCAACACAAAGAAGACTTCAAGCATCTGAAAAGTGGCTATTCAGGAAAAATTCTGAGGTTCTAGATACTATAAATTACTATAAAAAGAAAAAAACTTGCATATCCGATCCATATAATGCGAAATGGCAAGAGGCAACCGGAAGCGGAAACTATTCCGCTGACTATGTGGGTTAATTCAAGCGGAAGCGTATTTTTGCGCTCGGGAATTTCGCCCACGAAAATTCCGCCTTTATTCCGCCATGTGTGGGATAGGTCTTAGGAAGAGGTCTATTACTTTTGCATTCACAAAAATTGTGTTTTCGTATATATTTTTTTAAAATGTTTTTATTAAAATTCAACGGCAATAAAACACGGAATCGTCGCCTTCTAAGTAATTGCAATAATTTTGCCGCTCCGTGTTGTCGTCCAGCCTTAGTCTTTTAGTCTCGCAATTAAAAACTGCAATAATATCGAATGTAGTTTTAAAAATTCAATCTAAACAAGTTTAAACAACTGGTTAATCTACATTATAAAAATGTTTTGTTTGGACCAATTTATTTTATTGTATTTTTCTTGCCTTTTCTCTTTTTCGTTCTTGGATTGATTTATTGCATTTTTTTAATTTTCTTTTATTCTCGAGTTATATGTTATTATAATATTATTTATGTATTTCTTCGAGCTCGTTAATTGCAGGTAGTAGTAAAAATCTGGCATTCATAACACAACACTGACAGCACAATCGGTATATTGGTGGAATTTTTTTGCCACACCGATATCTACTTTTTCAAAAAGTTTAATGTCAAAATTAACCCTCGTCTTGTATTCGTATTCACGACAATTAAAAGTTTCTTTGATACTGTTTCGGGTACCAGGCACGGCTTATATTACTTTGTCGCCAAAATTTACACTTTTACTTTAACTTTACGACTGCGACAGTCATTCATAAATTATAGCATATTAAACGTTTACGGGCCGTACAATTTCGAAATTAATGGCGTCGAAATATGCTCTTACAAATTCCGCATTTTTTGCAGGTAATTTCTCAACTTCTCAACAAATATTTGCATCATTAATTTTAATTTCCTTTTGATTAACTTGGTAATGTTTATTGCATTATTTTACGAGTAAAAAATCCATAGTTTTTGCAATTAAAATCATTAAAGCAACCAGAATTGTTAATTTCTAACGATACATTAATAAGATACGTTGCGTAAATTTAAAAGGTGTATTATGCATGCTAATTGAACAGATTATAATTTGCAGAAAGATATTTGGTATCTTTAAATGCATTTTAGTCAAAATTTTAAAACATACACAAAAAAAATATAAACGAAATATTACCAACACATTAAATATGGCAAATACAAATACAATATTTGGGATACAAAAACTGATTATGGTTAACAGTTAATACATATTTCGAAAAATGTCTAACTACTCCTAATCTATACAAAACCATTATGTGATCAAATTTCTGCAACCCGTAGCTCTACAGTTAGTTTCATGAAAAATTCCACTTTGTATTTTGAGCAATTTACACATTCTGACAAGACAAAGTTTGTTTTGACGTTCAATATAGGGACGTAAAGGCAGGTTTATACAGGTTTATACAGGTTGTTCTCGTAAGTTTTATCATTAAAAAATGTCTAAACTAAACTGACTCAACTTTTATTTATTTTAAAAATAAAAAGATCAACTTTTAAATAAACAACTTAAAAATAATTCGGTTTAGGAAAATGCGAGAATTTTAACAAGTTTAGAAGATGGTTGATCCTTATTAGCAGGAGCCCAACATTTTAACATAAAGAGAACAAGAAAAAACAATTGGAAGGATTTTAATATTTTGCGCCATCTCCATCCGCAACAATCACAACTTGAAGTCTTCGGCTCATACTCATGAAAGGAGTTATGAAGTTTTCTTCAAGCGACAATTCTTCTCATACTTCCTGAATACCTTGAACTGGCTCCTTTCTGTTTTGAGGCATAAAATTTCATTCGATACAGCAGTTTCTTGCAACGTTGACATTTTGTAATCATTGTGTAACGATGTTTGCAGTGTGGCCAGGACAGTTTTCTTGTTGGAAAATGTAATTATTTTCCAGGTAAAGCTATTCCACACTAAGTACCATAACGTTCTGCAATATTTCGGCATAAGTTTGACCAAAAAATCTTCCCTCAATCCGCCATACCACTACCCTTCCTCTGGATGAAATCTATCCCCATACATTTACACTAAAATAGACAAATCGAGACGCTTGTTGTCTGGTCTGTACATTTCGATTTTTCACTTTTTGGCAGACAGGAAGATCTTTTCACCGGAAAATATGACTCTATCCCAAAACTGCTGTTCTTGCGCTTGGTAGTAAGATCAAAAATAGCCATGCTTGCTTCTGTTTGTTTATTTTTACTGCTACTGATCACAACTGGCAGGATCATTCGGCCAATTTTTTTTCGTTACCCACTTCATTTTTTCTGAAGTATATTTTACATATGGAATCATTAAGAGTGACAGTGTATCTTCATCAGGTGTTTGTACTATTGAGTCTATTTTACAACTGTTTTAATTTTATTATTATATTATTATTTACATAAATTCAATATTACGCAATACGCATGCTTTTACTCGCAAGAATATCCAGGAACTGCAGACAAGATTTTCCTTCTTCCTTAATTTGATACAATCATTAAGTGAATAAAGTTGGTTGGGAAAACATTATTTTAGTTCCTTCACTGAAGCATTGTCTCACGCCAATATCAAACCGAGATATGCGGACGTGAAAATGTTTTTTCGAATCGAACTATTGAAATATATAAATTTACAAAATATTGGGATTTCTTGTTGAAAAATAAAGAACTATTTCAGATTTTGTTTAGAAGAGTTTTTTATACTGAAAGTCAGCGTAGACAAAGTTGGCATTTCTTATTTAAGACGACCAAGTTTGACTAGGTAAAGGAGTAAAAACTTGCGGTGCATCCTCCACATCCTGTTAATTATTTTTAACGCGTTTTTTTTTCATTCCACCCTCCAGTAATCCGCACCTGGAAAAGCACAGCAAAGGCGTTACGGTTATGATAAATTTAGATACAAACGCTGGCGGTTTACTGTCCCGATGCTGTTTTCGAACTTAATAACACTCCAACGTGCGTCTGGACCATATCGACGTATTTTGGGTTCAAATCTGCGTGTTTTCATGTTTTGTTGCGCGTATTCTCTTGAATACTGCGAAACTATTGGTGCAAACAATTTTTGATTTCGGGAAGTAACGGGCTGTGTCAAAATGCGTTTAAAAGTTGTTGTGAGGGTACGACCCATGTCCCAAAGGTAATAAATGAGTTTTACCCGCATTAACATTTTTTTATGTGTAAGTTGTTGGTTATAAGTTTAATATGCTCTGGTAATATTAACTGTGTGTGGATCTTCCAATAACTTTTTTTAATTAAAATCCATTAATATGTTCGAACACCCGCGTCGGACTGACTGTGTAGAAGTAATAAAAGATGTTTTAGAACAAAAGCCTGCTTAGAAATATACGCTTACAAAGTAATACACTGATAGTAATAAACAGCAAGAAAAAACAATCAAATAAGAAAACATTTAACTTTGGCTCTGTTCGTATCCTTTTGAACTAGAATTTTTTTTTGCTATTTTCACCTCCACTTTCGGCGTTAAATCAAATGCAAAAGGCCCACAATAGGCGCGGTATATAAAATATCTATTTTCTCAAATACTGTCAGAACAAAAAAGTTAATTCAAACGAATCTTCATAATTATTATTGTGAAATTAACAAATTGCAGTATGGGGGTTGCAGTTTGCAATGAATGTTTTTGGTAATGAAGTAAGGCTGTAAAACCAGCATTTAATATTTTGTGAAACTGTCATTTCTCTTTTAGAAATAATATCATAATATAGTAGTTGTCCTATTACAAATAATACAGGGTGACGTCAGAAATTACTTCTATCGGGTTCTAAGACATCATCTAAAGTTGAAACAACTGTTCGCCAAAAAACACTTATTTTATTGTTTAAAAAATATTTAAACTTATGAATATTTAGTAAATAGAAACAAGATTACGTATAATTTGGATTTATATTTTATTTTCTTTGGTTAGTTATTGTATTTTATATGAAAGAAAAAAAATGAGCTAGAAATACGTTTTATTAACAATCGATCATTTAAATTAATAATCAAGCCTCAGAAAAATAAATTAACCAAAATGTCTTTCAAAACGTAACATTCTGTTATGAAAAATAAATCAAAATGTATCTTCGATGAGCTTGATAAAAACTAATTTTTCGTATAGGATATGGATCGTGCTTTGAATGTGTTCCCTATGACGCACGAACTACAATCGAAAAATTAGGAGATTATTTTATTTCCATTAAATTTTAACGCGTGTTCGAAACTTGTTGGTTCGTGTACTACTCCTTTGCCGTAAATGCATACCGAGCAAAAAGCGTAATGTTAAATTAAATAAACATAGGATGTGCATCGTTCATGGATGGCACGAACGCAAACAACGTTTATTTATTTATTCGCAAAGGCAATAAATTTTCTCGTGCATTCTGGTAAATACAAAAATACCATGGGCGCTTGTTACGTTCCGTTTGATGGGAACTGATATTTGACTGTCCGAATTAAATATATATCTGAAGTTTTACACATTGAATTTGAGAAATTACTATCAACCGATTTTTTAGATTACTGGATCGCTTGCCAAAAGTGTTACCAAACTATTGTTTAAAAATATTTTTGCGAGTTCGTTAGCCTACGCAAAAGCGTAAACACCTTTCCGTCCTTTCCACATTTTTACTTTTAGCATTTCGTAGACTTGATTTAACCCTAGGCAGTAGGTCACCTAGCCTAATCTTTATATATTTGAGTGGAAATGTCATTAATTATTGTTTTAGGAATATTTCTTGACTTGACTTATTAGAAATAATACGTGTTTAAATAAGCTGATAGCACCTATCCACAACAATTACAATTACAACAATTTTAATTAATTAAAGCTTAATAATTGCGTTTAAATAGTATATTACTCAACTAGTTTGATAAACACCATCTTAGTAGACAGGTTGATTTGACAGGAGTGGAGTGCAGCTCAATTAATAGTGTATTATGTTTTTATAAGCGAGTTTAGTCACGAGTGTCTGAAGAATTTTACATACGTGTTTATTGCTTTGTATACTTCTTCTACCATTATTTTGTAGGTACATTTTTGCAAAACAGGACGAATGTATTCACTGAGTGGCGTATTACGTGACTATCAGAACTCTCAAATGTCTACTGAAAAATCTACTGAAAGCATCATATCATTGCCATACCTGTCACTAATTTGCCCCAAACGTCTGAAGTGACTCGCTAATGAAAATGACGTCTTTTTGTACACGCCTAATTATAATTGATTGTTTTAGAGTACGGAGCACAAAAATCTTTTTTTTTCCTACTCTAAAAGGGTGCTGAAAGTGTCACTTTAAGACATGAGCTTTATTATTCACTGTCTCGAGCCACTTCGGACGTGTTTGGTATATGGGACATGGGTTTGGGAGCGATCGGAGGTTTTCGGTAGATTGTAACCATGGTATTTTCCCGTTTGTTAGTTTTGACGATCACGTCGTACGACACTCAGTGAATATATTCGTGCTGCCTTGGAAAAATATATCCACAGAACAAGTATAAGTATATGTAACTGATCAATAAACTTAGTCGGCCACTCTGTCAATCTTGTTGCATTATATACCATTGAGGTTATTAAAGTATTGGCACAAATGTTAGTAAATTATGTTTTAAAAATATTCGAACGACTTCGTGGCCTAGACAGTCTCGGCAGTAGATTCCGATTGCCGTGGATACATACTAGTTTTCACATATTTATGTGAAAATATTCTTATTTATATATTATTCATATCCGATTTATTTTTTAGTTCTAACAATGTTGCTAAGAACTGGAGTATAGTAAAAAATACTCTAGGCAACATCTGTAAGAATATCTTACTGACTTCAGGAAATTTCTCCTCATTTGATTCCATCTTATCCAAAAATTCCTTCTATTATCTCCTGCTATGAAAAAATATCTGCGAAATTTATACAAAATCAAGTTGGAATTCGATTTACTTTCAATTCAAATTCAATTATGAAATACGCGATTCATTAAATAATAATTTTCGATATTTTCAAAATAAGGTTTTTTGTAGTCGAATTTCCAAAAAATACCATAGCAGAGATCAATTATCGCGTGTCGAGTTTCAAGCATGCAGCTAAAAAAATATCCCTATGAATTATTCCGGCACTCACTATGAGAATATAATTAAAATTCTTGTGCCTGTCAAACGACAAATAATGCAAAAACTCGGGCGATCCGGTGAATTAATCATAATTAAAATAGTTTCGCTTCGTCAGAGTGCGTTTAATGTTTTTTAGGGTACAAGAAGCGACGCTGTCGTGATAGAATAACCCTGATGTACCTATTCTTGGCTTCTCGCAGAGCACCGGATGCAGAAAAAGGAGAATAGGAAATAATGAAAACGGATGTTACCTACGATAAAATTGTCTTAAAGTCGTAAATTACAGTAAATTTTGAACATTAAATTAAGGCAAAGATCAAACCCCTCGGCACAGACGCCAAGGATTTAATGAACAAAATAAATTGCTTGGTTTTGCGTTGCATCCAATCAACTATATTCGTGTTGCTGACATTTGCATACACATTTTAATTTTTCTCTAATTTTTATCTTAATCTTTTATTTTGTATTGACGACTGTTCGTTATCAATACAACAATGTTCTGCAAATTAAAACAGTGGGACGAAAAAAAAGTTAAAAAAATATGTTCTGAAAAAAATTTGTATAGAAAGGCATTTTGCCAAGTGTGTAAAAAATTAACTACAAGAAATCGAAAAAAAGATTGTGTATTTGACTTCAATGGTATTGATCACTCGTTTTTAAATGTCAACGAAGATATAAGAATACTCGGTTTTTCAACAGAGACAGTTAAAAATTCGCCTTTTTCAAAATAGGACTGCAAACAAAAGACAGACCAAAATTATAACGAATTTTCCTCGCGAATGTTTCGTTTAATTTTCGGACAAAACGGAAACGGTTATTTTTTTTATTAGTCTGATACAAACCACATATTTTTATGTGATTTTTGATACTTTACGAAACCACAGTAGTAAATTTAGTAGTAACATACATTTGACTTCAATGGGTCTCCACTTTTCCATAGCTGTCTCCAAACACTTGTATGAGGACAAGCAACTACATCTATTATTGAAAATATTTACTTAAAAATTACCAAATAAATTTCCTTTAATAAGCTTCTTTTTTTGCATGCCCATGGTAGTAGGATTTGGAACCTAAAAGAAAGATGTATTGCTGATTTTGCTAATTTTTTAAATAAGCACCTTAAAAATAATAATCGAGAGTTGAAAATTTTGGTCTTTTCATTGTATGTATGTATGTAGGATCAATACTCCACTTTGCCAAAACTTCATCGATTCTGTAAGCTTACTGCTTTCAAAGTCTTATAGGAATTTTAAACATTCTGTATATATGCATGTATATATTTACTTATTATCCAATAACAACTAAATGCATAGTCCATTTAGTTTTATTTTCCACTTTTAAAGGTTATAAGGGGTGTTTTTTTTTCAATGCATAGAACTTTAAGTTGCAATAAAACAACGATGGATTACTCGATTGACATGAATTTTATTTATTCGAAAGATAATCTTGAGGCATTATATTTTAAATATGATTTCTGGCATATGACCGCCACGGCTGCACTGTGGGCCCCATGCATAAACTAGGTTGCAATAAATCATTATTAAAAATGCAAAATTTGTCAATGTTTTTAAATTAAGAACATACTGAAACATGTAAAAACAGTATTGCTTTCTAAAAATACTTTACCGACAATTTTTTATAAAGGCACAATATCAGATGTTTAAAAGAAAGTCTATTTTTATTGCAATCGCTTCAATAAAATAACGAAGTTTTCGTACTTTTTAAATGGCTTAGTAGGCATTGAAAACAAATTTCGCTTAAGTATTTGACAACTGTTGTCAGTCCTGTTAATTAGTTTAGACCTGTACATGCAATGTAGAATGTTTGTGTTTTTTCTGCGATTTGACAAGAAGTGGCGGGATAAGTACCATTAATATTTAATTTTTCAAATTCTATAGAGTAAAAAAATATGAAGGCCAACGAGTGCCAAGCAAAAATATACATTTTTTATTAGGCAAGTGTGTAAACTACTAAAAACTGTTAGCCAAAAATGTCGCAATTAATCGCAAAACTTATGCCAGTTAAAAATGTCAAC